ACGTACCGGAAGGGGAATGGAGCCATAGGGCCCATGATCGTCGGCATCCATCAACTAGTGCTTTCGGTTCGCTTGGCGCAGGCATCCACTTCCCCACGGACCCCGACGAGCTGCTGAACCAGCTGAACCGAGCGCTGCGCGTGTTCGCCAACGCGCTCGACTTGTTCGTCAAGGATATGGTGGACTCCGGGAAGGACCCCATGCTGCTGATGCCCGGCCACTACCACCCCCGCGACACGCCCCGCCACCCCCTGCTGCCGCACCTGTCTTGCGACGAGGGTGGCGGGGGGGAGACGCGCTGGTCCGGGGGCGAGCTCTTCTACCGGTGAGTGGTGGCGGGCAGGCGAGGCGAGGCGAGGCGGGCTGTCGGCTCCCCTTCCGGGGTAATTCACGATGAGCGCCACGATGCCCACGACGGGGGCCGCCAGCCGCCCCTCACCGCCCTGCCCTCTGTTCGTGCCTCCGCACCTGTCTGAAACGCGGGTACACTGGTGCACGGATTTGCCTGGATTTGCCCCGGCCGGCTGATCCGAAGTATCTATAGGTGCAGCGTTCAAAACGTAAATCATGACCGGCTTGAGGCTCCTCAGGCGCTGGAGCAACTGGCGCCGACGAAAAACCCGTTCGAAATAACTTGTCACTGGATTCAGATCAAGATAGACGGGAAGTTAGTTGATCAGGACATCGCAACGCGGCACGGCAACAAGACGGACAAGCGGCGCCGCGCCCGCTGGACGCTCCGCGACGCTCCGCCGATGAACGGAGCACCGAAGCGGCGCGTGACTTGCGACGACCGAGCCGCGAGTCGATTCCGGCTCAGTGACTCCGAGGAGGAGCTTCGTTCTGTTTCTCTCGCACCCCTGCCTCATGAGTGCGAGAGGGACAGAGCGACAGAGCGCACAGGCAAAAGGCTTTGATGCGCGCCGTGGCTGCCGGGCCAGCCCACCTTTCGGGCCGCTTTTGGTGCCGACGTCCTCGCCCTGGTGGCCATGGCGGCCCTGGCGGCCCTGGTGGTCCCCTATAACAGCAACGCATTCCCCGGCACGGGCCACCACATCCCTTCCCGCACCCACGGCCGCCCCGCCCACGGCACGCCGCCCCGCATGCCGCCCGAGTGCGAGAGAAAGAGGGAGGCCTCCCCCGTCCCTCTCGAAATCAGTCTGCAGGCCGCGGACTAGTTGGCCAAAGAGCTGGCCCTTTCAGCAGAGATCACCAGGTGCCCGCCGCCCCGCTCCGCTCCGCCACGGCACGCCCCGCTCCGCCACGGCACCGCACGGCACGGTGCCCATTGATTCCTGATTCGGCATCCGCCTGGCCTCAAGGACGCATTGAAATGCAGCCCCCCGCGGCCCCCACCCCGCGCCGGAGATTTCCTCGAGCCCCGGCCTGATCCCCCGCTAATCCCCCTTACCTGCAGTCATACGACGCCCGAATCTCGCCCCGCCCCGCTCCGCTCCGCCCCACCCCGCCCTGCCCCGCCCCACCATTGCCTGGCTGGACCACCCTGGCCTGAATATTCAAAGCGCCCCGCGGACGGTGGCGGTGGCGGGGAAAAGACGTTGAACATTGTTCTAGCGAAAAATCGGATTCGTCGAATGATTCCCCGCCGGCTGAAACCAAATGAACTCGGTTTGCCCCCCCCCCCCCCCACCGCCCCCCGCACTTGTGGCATTAAAAATAGTGTCACGGCGTCGGAAACAGTGACGGCTAAATTGGGGCACAAAGCGCGGAGTATTTCAAAACTAGGGTGTCTCCCACTCCTATTCCTTTCACGCCCCCTGGCGGTGCCGCTGAGGTGAGTCATTTGACGGCTGTGGATGATGTGCGGAGCACGCCGGGCGGGGCGGGGCTGCCTGCACGCTGCGTGGGCAATTTTGAACTGCGTAAAAACAAACTTGAGAGAAACGGCAGGCGGAAGATGGCACGGCAGCGGGGCAGAAGGGCAGCGGGGCAGCGGGGTAAAGGGGCAGCGGGTCGGCGGGGCGGCGGGGCAGCGAGGCAGCGGGGTGGCGGGTCAGGGGGCAGCGGGGCCATCAGCAGCAGGATGGCAATCAAAGGCGGAGCGAACGGCCGCGCAAAATGAATTAACCAGACGCTCATCGTGCCGCCCCGCCGCCCCGCCGCCACGCCCACAGCGCTTTGTCCCTACTTTCGCCCCCTCCCCCTTCCCCCATCCCCTCTCACTTCCCGATATAGTGTCATGATCAAAACTCATCCAGTTGCTGGGGTGAGCGGTGCCAACTGAGCTGGTGAACTGTACACCGCGAGATGCTAAAAACACGCAATTAAAACTGACTTGATGAAGCGCCACGGCCGCCACGGCCCGTTCGCCGCGTTTCCTAGTGTTTCCTCCCCGACGGAGCGTCTCGGCCGAGCGAACCGCTGCCGCGCGCTCTGACGCGCACCGACGGCGCCTCGTTTGGATGCGCCGCGGCGCGTGCGGCAGTGGAGGAGGGAGTAGTGCCGTAGTCAAACTAGTTCCGAGTTGTGAAAGAGCCGAGGCGAGGTGCGGGGGCGCGGCACACTGCCCTTTGAGGCGAGGCAGAGTTGAGGCTCCCCGACGACGGCAGGGACACTGCCGCTCTCGGCCCTCGGCGCCCTCGGCCCTCGATGCGACGGAGAGTGGATCTTGGCACGCTTCGCGAGCTTCGCGTGCTTCGCGCCCCGCCGCGCCTCAGACGCGGCCTCAGAGAGTCTCCCCTGAACTGCGCTGGCCTCCCCGCGGCGCAGGCAGGGCAGGCCGCGATCCGCATAGGTTCCCATTCAACACCCCCCCCCCCCCCCCCGTGCACGTGTGTCTGTGTGTGTGTGTGTGTGTGTGAGTGTAGTGTGAGAGAGAGAAAGAGAGAGCGCTTGTTTGCGCGCGGCGCGCCGCCTCTGTGGGCAGAGACTCGTCGGCTCGGCTTGTCATTAAACGTGTTTGGCTGCTTGTGGCCGTGCCATGCCCGGCCGTGGCGCGCCGTGCAACGCCGTGCCGCGCGCCCCTCAGTGGCGCTATTGGATTTAACCCCTCCGACCACCGCTATCGCTGCGACAAAAAGGCGTGAAATTAGTCCCCCGCTCACTGGGCCCTCGCGATGGCGTCGTCGCGCAGGGCGTGGGGGGCGTGGAGGGGGTGGAGGGCGTGCAGGGCGTGGAGGGCGTGGAGGGGGTGGAGGGCGTGCAGGGCGTGCAGGGCGTGGAGGGCGTAGGCCGCTGGCCGCTGGGCTGTCGGGCCAAAGGCGGGCCTGGAGCGCGCAGCACACCCACCTGGGCGTGACGAACGACGGAACGACGCGGCGGTCGCTGTCGTTGACGCCGAGGGCCCAACTTGCTAGTTCGAGGCATCAGCGGGGCGCTGCCTGACTTTGTATAAGGATAACGTCGGACTATCAAAGAGACTCCCCCTCCTCTCTTCCTCCCCGCGTCCGAATGCCGCCGCGGCCCCGAAGCCGGGAGAGGGTGATCCAATTATGAAGGCGCTTCCCGCCGAGTGTCACGCCGCATCATCTCTTCATGTTTCGCCTTTCTTTGTTTTGCGCGCGATCGTGCGGATCGTGCAGGCGGCCGGCCGCGCGGTGTTTACATGGCGCTGTTGCGCTGTATGCGCTGTATCGCGGAGCATCGCGGAGCATCGCGGAGCAGTATGCGAGGCCCTTGGCGTTCGTCTCACCAGTCCCGCAGTCCCCGCCACAGCGACAAACAGGCGATTCCTATTCCGGGCACTCTGGGCGCCCAGGCCCCAGGCCCGCGGGCCTCTGGACGACTAGGCCACGCGCAGCCGCCGATGCTACCGCCTCCGCCGCGACCCGGGTCCGGCAGGCAGTCGGCCGACGCGGTGGACGCAGTGGTGCTGCGCCACGGGCCCACCCCACCCTAAGGTCATATGGAAGATAGGTCTGCGCAACCGAGATGCATGCTGGGAGACCGGGCAGCTAATCCCTCCCGAATCCGTCGCCGGCCGCAGCGGAGGACCGCCTACCTGCCTGCCAGCCTGCCTGCCGGCTTGCCCGGTCTCCCAGCATGCATCTCGGTTGCGCAGACCTATCTTCCATATGACCTTACCCCACCCCACCCCACCCCGCCCCGCCGGCTCTGTGCTCTGGGGCACCGACGCCCAGTGGACTGGAAAACTGCAGGAGCGGAATGTGGGTGACTGCGCCCCGGCGTCCTGCACCAGTCCTAGGACTCCACTTGCAGGCCTGCAGGGCAGCCCGCCTCGGCCGTGTTCTTGCGTCCGTAATTGGGTCGTTCCGAGACTGCCTCTACTCGGCACCCACCTGCTAGTGCACTCGTAAACTTCAAAACGTGTAATTGGCGCCCAATATGCACTTGTAAATGGGCCTTAGAGCAGAGCATTCACTCCCAAGACAGTTAGGTTCGCAGAGTACATCCCCCACCCCCTTTTCCTCCGCCGAAAAGCTGACCCACCCAAACCAGCAGGCCGCAAGCTGAGCGGGATGGAGGGACAAGAGAAGGGGCAGAGAATTCCGCCGACATTCCAGACGCGGTGCCGCGCGGTGCATTGAGGGACACGGGGTGGCTCGTGGCTCCGGGCGGGGCGGCTCTGGCGCAATACTTTCATCATTGCTGGCCGCAATTCCAGTCCGCTCCTCTGGGTTCAATCAACGACGGTACGTTTTCGCTGCGGGCCAATACTGCGCGCCGCGCGCAACACACTCCACGACTGGCTGTGCCATCCCCCCCCCCTCCCTCTCTCTCACTCTCTCCCTCTCTCTCTCTTTCTCTCCTCTCTCCCCCGCACCACAGTGTGTCAAAATGATGACTGCGGCTCGACACGCTCGACACCAGCCCCGTTTTTGTCGTCATCCGAGACGGCTGTACATTAGTACATTAGTTGCTGCTAAGTTTGTTGTTGGCGGTTTTGTTTTGTTTTTCTGGCCGCAGCTTCCTCCGCCAGACCCGCATCGAGCTGGACGGCCCGCACGGCCCGCACGGCCCGCACGGCGGCCGCGGCACGCTGGAGTTCCAGGCCGACGGCACCCTCCGCGCGGCGCAGCTCCAGGTGCTCAACCTGCAGCCGCAGCGCAAGGTGGTCGGAGCGGCCCCCGGGAACCGCCAGTGGACCGAGGTACAGAGTGCAGTGGCGCTGCAGTGTGTCTACAGCCCCATCGATTGGGTCACATGGGCGGCACTTCTCGCTCGCAAAGCGACAAGTTTTCTGTGTCGCCGTGTCCGCCGAAGGCCGCAGAGAGGCTAACAAAGAGTGACGACTCGCCAGATGGGCTCGGGGACGAGGGTTACGTGTATATAATTCCTGTGACCCATCCGTTCCTGGCTGGGTAAATAAACGAAAAGGCTGCCTCGCGACTCACGCCTCGCCAGCAGCCAGCCCAACTGGGGCGTATCAAGGATCCTTTGCAAGGTGCGGCGTATGCTCGAGTAAAATGAACAAAAGTGAAAGGAGCCAGACGGGGGAGGTGACGAAGCGTGGACGAGGCGCCGACGAGGCGGCCGACGAGGCGGCCGACGAGGCGGCCACTTGTTTCTGACAAGCACCGTGTCTCGCGCCGACCAGCTGGTCCCGGGGGTCCTTTTTCGCGCCAAGAAAGGGAGGGGGAAAAGGGGGGAGGCAGACGGGGACATCTCTGCTGACTCGTTGAGGCGGGAATGTGCTCAATAATGTCCTGGCCGTTTGTCTTATGGCCGAGGGCGTCGAGGCGAGGCCGTGGCCGTCCAGGGCCGTCTGTCCCGGCCTCCTCGGCCGGCGTCTGGCGCGCGGTGCGGTGTGTTATAATTCGCTCGCTCGCAGATCGGCACCTGGAGGTCGTGGGAGGAGCTGCTGGCGGGGCTGGGCGGCGGCCTGGACGTGAAGGACATCGTGTGGCCCGGCATGTCGCACACGCCGCCGCAGGGCGTGCCGGAGAAGTTCCACCTGCGCATCGCCTTCCTGGAGGAGCCGCCCTACGTCAACCTGGAGCCGCTGGACCCCGTCACCAACAAGTGCCCGAAGGACACGGCCGTGTACTGCCGCGTGGGCCGCGAGGACAACCCCAGGCAAGCCCACTGCAAGCCCACTGCTCTGCGGAGCTCCGCACTGCCTGCCGAAGCGCGCTTCCTTTTTTCATTCAAATTCCCGCTTCTTTATCTTTTCGTCGACAGCTCCCGCCGCTGCTGTACAGGATTCTGCATAGACCTGCTGCTCAAGTTCGCCGAAGACCTCGGCTTCACCTTCGACCTGTTCCGAGTGGAGGACGGCAAATGGGGCGCGCAGACGGTGAGCACACTGTGAATTGCAACGAACGGCAAACAGCGACAATCAACCACGCGTGGCTTGCCTTGCCAGCCAGCCAGCCTACCGCTCCCCTCCCCTCCCCTCTTGGCTTCGGCACGTGCAGCGTCGATATGGGAGTCATCAAAGCGGAAGGAGATCTGCCGTGGCGCTCCCTCTTGGATCCCCCCACTCACACTCAGACACACACGCACGCACACACACACACAAACACAAACACACACACACACACACACACACACACACACACACACACACACTAACACACACACGCACGCATCCAAACGTCACCCACAGATGCAACAGTGCTGCCACAGAACTTGTCTGCTTGATAGGCAGTGGGTTGAGGGGCTGCGCGGGGCTGTCCGGGGCCGCCATCTCGCCGGGCGTGCATGCGTGCATGTTGCGTGTTGCAGAACGGGCGCTGGAACGGCCTGGTGGCCGCCCTCATCAACCACAACGCCGACCTCGTGATGACGTCCCTCAAGATCAACTACGAGCGCTCGCAGGCCATCGACTTCTCTCTGCCCTTCCTGGACACGGGCATCGCCATCACGGTGGCCAAGCGCACTGGCATCATCTCCCCGACCGCCTTCCTGGGTGGGTGCATGGAGACGCCTGTGGTCTAGCCCTCAATGGTAATGGGCGCGGAAGGCGCCGGCGCGGCAGGCAGTCCCGCCGAGCACGCGTGCGCCGGGGCGGCCTACGCCGCGGTCCGCGGGCGTTACGCGGGCGGCGGCGATGCGACGACGGCCAGTTCACGGTAAAAACGTGGCCCGGTTTCCCCAGAAGGCCTCTGGTAAACATTTATGCGAGTTCCAGGGAGTTCCTGGGAAAACCAGGAACCGTTTTCACCATGTTCGGCTGGAGGCAGCGTGCCCTTCAGCCCTTGAGGTGTTTTGTCGCCGCGAGCACGGTGGGCCTCGCATGAACGAACGACACGGCCCGGCACGGCCTGTCTCGCGCCGCCTATAAAGCCTTCTCCTTTATGTGCGGTAATCCTACCGCCCCGCCCCGCCCCGCCCCGCCGCCGCGAGATGGCGCTGCTCCACGAAGCTCCGCTCGGCGAAGTGCCGGCAGTGCGTTGTTTACCTGGACGCGCTGATGATGCGACCTGGCGACGGTTCATCGCGCACGGCGAGCGCGACAAGCGCGACTAGCGGGGCTTGAAGCTGTCGAAGGCCGCGGCGTGCTTATTATTGAAACAGGCCCACGAGGAACAAAGGGCGTTCGATGAGGCATGCCTTGCAGGATCATGGGACTGGAGGGGGCGGGGGGGAAGGGGCGGACGGCCGCCGGCATCCCTTGGAGCTGCAGACAAGAGGACGTAAACAGCCGCGGTTAGGCCGTCGTCGCGCTCCCCACGCTCTCGACACCGGCACCGCGGCACGGCGGCACCGCAGCTCCGCGTTCCGAGATGCGGGGCCTCGAGATTTCCGCTTCGCGCTTCGCACCGTGCCGTGCCGCGGCCTTTTTCTTTCTGCCTTTTCGCGGAAAGGAATTGGAGGGGCATCTCTGAGCCCACCCACTCCCAACCGAATCCGCATCTGGAAAATAATTCTCCCTTTTCTTCTTCTCCTTCTCCCTTTTTTACTTTTTGCGTTTCGCCTGGGAGCATGATGCGCATCGATTTGCTCCATTCCGTCATTGCATGTGGCCCGGCGGCCGCGTCTGTTTGCAGAGCCATTCGACGGAGACATGTGGATGCTGGTGGCGTTCGGCGCCGTGCACGTCGCCGGCGCGGCCATCTTCCTCTTCGATCGGCTCACTCCGACCGGCTACGACAGAGAGGTGAGTACGGTCGGAGCCCGCCGCCAAGGCCGCCGCCAAGGCCGCCGCCTCGCGAGCCGTGACACACAGTCACTCCCGCCGACTCCCGCGCAGTCTGTCTGTCTCTCTCACACCTGTCCGGGAAGCGCCATGAGTGCGAGAGAGAGAAGCCTCCCGCAGAATCGCCTGCGCTTTCTGCTGGCTTTGCATGCCCCGACCGAGGCCCCGGCGTGCCCAAGGGCTTGCCCTGCTCCTGCGCGCCGCTGTGCCGCGCTGTGCGCCTTGCCTTCCTGCTCCCCGAGCGTTCGGCTCGGCTCGTCGCGGCTCGTCCTGTTCGGCCTGCCGTGTGCCCATTTGCAGGTTCGCCGCCTCGCCTTCCTTTTCGTCCAATTTCGCAGCCTCCGTCGAGAGGACGGGCCACTCTGCGCGCCGCGCCTAGGTAAGGGTGGATGTAAAGAGGGGGGGGGGGGTGTCTGCCCGTCTCTGCCAATCCTCTGAACGAGGCGTGCTGTCACTGTCCGTGGAGGGAGACAGAGACAGGCCGCTTCGCTGCTTCGCTCCTCACCTTGCACCTCGCCAAGTGCTGGGGCGTGTTTAGCGGTAACCAAGACACCTTTGTGCACTTCGCCTCCTTGCCGCCACGGCTGTCGGCGAGTCAATCGGTCGTTAGCGACCGGGGCACTGCCGCACTGGCGGTGCACCACCAAATGGCCAAATCGCGCTGCCCTCTGATTCCCTTGCTGCCTGTCTCGGCCTGCCTCGGCCTGTCTGGGTTGTCTGCAGCCTCCGCCATCCGCCCCGCCAGCCCCCTGGCCTCGCCACGTCGCCGCCGCCCCACCTGTGCCTGGGCGGCCTGGGCCTTGGCCGCGAGCCTGCCGAGTCTCGTCGTTCTTTCGACTGATTCCGAGGGTCGCCGTCGTCGCTCTGTCTCTCTCGCACTCGTGGGGCGTCCCGTATAGGTGCGAGAGAGACAGAGCGACGAAGGCGGCCCTCGAAATCAGTCGACTGGCTGTCTGGCGCACTCACGGGCCGCCCCGTAGCGAGCGGTGCGAGAGGGATGGAGACGGAGCGACGAAACGACTCAGTCTTCGACATCGCTCGGCTGATCGGGATGCTGATCGCGCTGCCGCCCCGGTCCGGGACGTCCGGGAGGGGCGCGCCAGAGACGCAGGTGTCGCCGCCTGCCCACCTGTGCGACCCGGGAGGGCCAGGGAAGGCTTGGAGCGCGACGCGTAATAATGACGTGGCCGCCATTGGTTCTTCTCTCTCTCTCTCTCTCTCTCTCTCTCTCTCTCTCTCTCTCTCTCTCTCTCTCTCTCTCAGTGTGTGTGTGTGTGTGTGTGTTAAGGGGGAGGCAGCGACCCCACACCGGTTGCCGGGGGGAAACCTCGGGCTGAGCGGCTTTGGGAGACACTGACATGCGAACAAGCTATTTAGTCACCCCTCGGAGTCGCACAATGGGCCTGTCGGGGTGCGGTGGGCTTGAGTAACTCGGGGTAACTCCGAGCTTGGTCCTGTTCGCGAAGACACCTAAAACGAACGTCCCCGCGACCCGGCCCGCACCCCGCATCATTAGCTGACACTAATTGTGCGCCGGCCGAGGCGGCCGAGGCGGCCTAGGCGGGCACCGACGGCGCGACAGAAGGGCGTGGAGGGGGAGGGGGTGCGGGACGTGTCATTTTGCGACGGGCTGCTCGTCGATCTGGCGGCTGAGTGACGACGGCGTGCTGCGATGCTGCTTGTTCTACTGTCCCGCAGCTCGGCGCGCCCAGGGAGCACCGCGTGTCGCTGTGCCGCACCCTGTGGCTGGTCTGGGCCGTGCTGTTCCAGGCCGCCGTCAACGTGGACTGCCCGCGAGGGTACGCTGCCAGGTACAATGCCTCTGCGTACGCGTGTTTGATGTCTGATAGCGTCAAGTTTTACCCCGACAGCAACGATAACGATTGACGACGCTGCTCTCCCAGGTTCGTGGCCAACGTGTGGGCGATGTTCGCACTCATCTTCCTGGCCATCTACACCGCCAACCTGGCAGCCTTCATGATCACCCGGGAGGAGTTCCACGACCTCTCAGGGATAAACGACACCAAGGTAGGGTGATGACCAACGCGCCCGCCGCCGTGTCGCCTCCGTAGAGTTGGCTGCGGCCCGCGGGACTTCCGCGTCGAAAGGGAGGGGGATTGCCACGCCGCCGCGCCTCGGATTGCAGGACCTGCTTTCGTATTCATACCCGCATGCTTGGCGGGTAAGCGCGCCCTCGCCGACCCTCGCCCGCCTTTGGCTCTCGGGAGCAACAGGTAGGCGGGGTGGGGAGGAGCCGAGGAAAGGAGCAAGGTGCAGAGACTGAGGACGGCGGCACCGCAGCCCTACGCGGACCCAGGGCGGCCCGCGCCACGGCTTTACTCTGCTCTGCTTTACTCTGCGGATTACCACAAGAATTAAGGGTGACTCAGCTGCACCCACTTTGTCACTTTACAAATAGTTCGTCAAAATGATAATGTGTTTGGACATTCGTGACAGCGTTCCAGCCGTTTGCATAGATTGCTATCCTAAACGACCCATTCGCAAGTTTTGAAAATCATTCGTCAACATCTAAATGGAAGCCGAGGGCGGGGCGAGACGCGCCCCGTTCCGTCCCGCGATCGTGCCGTCTTTGGAGCCACTCGCGGCTGAAGGCTCGCAGCACCGACCCGCTGGCTTCCGCTCTGGATAATGTATGTTCGTGGCCCCGTTTGTAACTGTTGATGATGATGATGGATCGCCGTCGAGCGCGGCGGGCGGGGTGGCAGCGGGAGAGGAGAGCTTTACCAAGTCACCCCCCGCTAAGGCCGTGCCGTGGCCGTGCCGTCCTCCTCTCCAACCCCCGCGGCACGCTGATGTCTCTTTGACCTCAATGAACGGCATTGCTCTTGTTTCGGGCCACACACCTGGCTGCGCGTGACGCGTCGCTAACGAATGCTGTCAGGCGACACGCGGGGCGGGGCGTTGAGGGAAGGGGGAAGGGAGAGGCAATCATTCAATTTCCGTTCGCCTGTGAGCTGCTGCCAAAAAATGTGTTTTGATTGGTGATTGGCGTGCCTTCCGACAGCTCAACAACCCCTTCACGGTGAAGCCCCCCTTCCGCTTCGGCACCATCCCCCACGGCAACACCGACGTCGTGCTGCGCCGCAACTTCCCCCAAATGCACTCGTACATGCGTCAGCACAACCGCAGCTCCGTGGCGGACGGCATCAAGGCCGTCAAGGACGGGTGGGTACTCTTCACTCTGAGGCCTCGTCGAGGGCCTAGTCTCCCTTTTCGAGAGTGTGACGTGGAGGCGCTGTCTAGGCTGCTGGATGCGTTCGTGTACGACGCCACGGTGCTGGACTACCTGGCGGGCCAGGACGAGGACTGCGTACTCGTCACGGTGGGGTCGTGGTTCGCCATGACGGGCTACGGCGTTGGCTTCCCCCGCAACTCCAAGTTCCGGAAGCTCATCAACCGCATGCTCATGGAGTACCGCGAGAACGGCGACCTGGAGCGGCTGCGGCGCTACTGGTTCGCCGGCTCCTGCAACCCCAACCGCAAGGAGAACAAGAACCGGTCCGAGCCCCTGGCCCTGGAGCAGTTCTTCAGCACGTTTCTGCTGCTCATCCTGGGCATGGCCCTCGCGGGCCTGCTCGTGTTCGGCGAACACCTCTACCTCCAGTACGCTCTCAAGCGGCAGCAGCGCCTGGGGCTGGTGAGTACTAACACACAGTTTCGAGTAGTGCCAACTAACAGAGTTCATGGTTTCTTCATTGACCCGTGTGCCGCAGTACGTCAGCCCCCGCCACCAGCTGTCCCACCAGGTGCACCCCGAAGTGCGGCGGCGCGCAGCTCTAGCCCAACTGCAGGACATGAACGAAAGGCAGTCGGCGCCGGCCCCGCCTGGCCCGCCACCCAGGGCCGACACCTTCATGGCGCGCTGCTGTGCGCTTTTCAGCACGGTGAGAACTGCCGCACCGTCAACATCGTGTCACTGAGACAGCAGGTCATGGTTTATTTTGCCATGTTGTCATCTGTCCCCGGCAGAGTGTGGGCCGCTTGCTGATGGGCGACCCGCCGGGGACGCCGCGCCGCCTGCTGGGGCCTCCGCGGGGCCGGGGACACGCCATGCCGCACGACCCGGCGGTGTGCGCGGCCGTCCACGGACACCTGCAGGTGAGGCTGGGGCTGATTGCTTTCGGTGGAAACTTGGGATGCGAGTGTCCCTGTCTAAAGTTTCCCGTCGAGGGCGAATTACAGCCGAATCCTTAAAGCCGGCGCGGCGCGCGCTGCGCGATTGAGAACAAAGTTGGCACTTCCCTTTTTCTTCCTTGTGCAGGAGGCGCTGGAGGTGACGCGCGCCCGCGTCGCCAAACTGGAGCGCATGCTGGAGCGGTACGCGCGCGACCGCGAGCGCCAGGCCCAACGCCAGGCCTCGCAGAGCACCACCAGCGTGGCCACCATCGCGAGCAGGGCTAGCGTCTCGGCTAGCGTGGTGCACGGGCCGTGCTGGTCTCCCGAAGGCTCACCCGTCCGGCTGCCCTACAGGTCCTCAATAAGACTGCCCCTGGTGTTCACATGATTCGCATGCTTGGCATGCTCGAGGCTCCTGGCCGCTGACGCTTCCTCTTTTGTTGGCAGTCGGCGCTGCGCGAGGGGCGGGGGGTCGCCCGGACGCCCGCTCGCCAGCGCTCCCTGCTCTGCCACCAGCTGCCCCTCGGCTAGCCCCGCGCCCCGCTTCGCGGACCAGCCGACACCGGGGCCCAGTGGGGCCAGGGCTCGCGCCCCGCTGCGCCAGGCGCAGGCTGCGCACACTGCGCACCCCGCGTACTCCGAGCACATCGGCCTCCACTACGCCCTCCGGCGACACGAGGCGCCCGAATCACCCTCCCCGCCGTCGTTCGAGACAGTGCTGTGAACTCATCTTCAATTCAGTGGCATGCGTACCCGGCGCACATCCGCGCCGCGGGGCTCAGAGACGAAGCCCAGCGAGGGGCCACTCGGCAGGCGTCACCACGATTATGCTCTCGCATGATTGTGGACAAAGACTGCAGCATGGAAATACAACCAGCGCTCGCACGCTCATGGCGCCTGTCCGGCGCCCGTCCCGCGCGACGCGTTAGGCCCCACAGCTCAACAAGGGAGCGCCCTTGTCCACGTGATTGCGTGCGTTCGAATCAGTGACGGGTGGAGATTTGTTGCTCAGATTATGGACAACTGCCATTAAGTCGAGTGCACCCTGCACCGTTCGTGGGGGTATACCATTTAAGCGTTTCGCTCATGCTATTTGCTCGAAACAAGATTTACTTTTAAGGATTCGGAACACTTCTGTTACACAAGGCCCTCTAATGATTTATCAGCTAAATGAACTGCACAGTTTTCTTTTCTTCAAGAGTTTTGATAGGCAGGGATTGTGTTGAGTTAATGACCATTAAAGACAACCCTGCACGATAGGGATCAAGAATAAAATTTATTGTAAAATTAAGATTAATATTTATCACTTACAACCTCAAGTAGAAATAAATTGAGTTGATAACCAATAGATAACATTTCATGTTTCAGAGTGTAAAGGTCAGTCACTGACAAATCAAGAAATAAATTTCGTTTTCTAAAAAAGACTGGGTGTGTCACTATTTTACCTCAACGCTCATTTCACCCATCCTCGGCTCGGCTGGCTTCCTAGTCCTTGGCGTCGTCGATGCCCCCGCCCGTGATGGAGAACGAGGCCTCGCTCTCAGGCATGTCGGGACTGCCAACAGGAAGCGACAAGTCGGAGAGCAGCCGAGCGATTCAGAAGCTCTGTCTCTCTCGCACTCATGGGGCTCTTCGCAAGGGTGCGAGAGAGACAGAGCTACAGCTCTGCCGGCCGGCTTGAGATAACTTTGCTCACCTGTCGTAGATCTTGGCGATGCGCGTCTCGCCGCGGCCCTTGCGCAGCGCGATGCGCGTGGTGGACGCGTGCGCCAGGATGTTGCCGCCGATGGGCTTCTTGGGGTCGGCCTGGAACGACATGGTGGCGCCGGGGTCGGACGTCATCTGGTTGGTGATGAACACCGCCACGTTGTACTCCTCCGACACCTTCTGCAGCCGCGACATGAACTGGGCCAGGCGCTGCTGCCGGTCCGCCAGCTCGCCGCGCCCGCTGAAGTCCACCCGGAACAACGCCATCACCGAGTCCACCACCTGCAACACGGCGGGCAACACCGTCAGCCTCGCCCCACTGCACAACTGCACACGAGGCCAAAGGCACTCACCAGCAGCTTGAAGACGCCGCCCTCCTCGTGGAACTTGGCCGCCACCATGTCGAGCAGCTCGGTCTGGTGCTCGCTGGTGTAGGCCCTGGCGTACAGCACGTTGTCCAGGACGGCGGAGGGCTCGAGGCCGAATCGCTCCGATATGGCGCGCAGGCGGTCGGGCCGGCTAGAGAGTAGCATGTAAGGAAAAACGAAAGCGCCCCTTCCGCAGACTGACTCCGAGAGTCGATTTCGTCGCTCTGTCTCGCTCGCACTCATGGGGCGTCCCCTACAGAGCGACGAAAACGACTCTCGGAATCAGTGTGCCGCGCTCGGATGCGCCGTGGCAAAGGATACAAGGTGTGCTCCGTGTCCAAGAAGATGACCTTGCCGCCGTGGTAGTTGACGCCGGGCATCTGCGCAGTGACGCACAGGGTGTGGGACAGCTGCGTCTTGCCCGTCCGGAACTCGCCGAACGCCTCGGTGATGGCCATGGACTCCACGCCGCCACCCAGCAGCTTGCTGCAAGCACAACGAGGCAGATGAGGCGGGGTTGTCGCGGGGAGGGGGTGGGGATGCCGAGCTCAGGGGTTAATCGGGGCTTACTCAAATTCTTTGCTTCCGGTCGTGATTTTGAAAACTTCTCTTCGTTTCTCGGAGACCTGCAGAGCGGTCATGAAGCCGTTCTGGTCGATCTTGGCGCACGCCTCTTTGATCTTGTCCACCTTGGCCTCCGAGAAGCCCTTGATGGCCGCCAAACGACGGCGGGTCGTCATCTGGACACCTTTGATGGTGCATATTCCCACCGACTTCAACTTTTTAATGTCAGCGACGTTCTAAAAGAAAAACGCGACGAACCGTTACATTCCTGCACTGGACACTGATGGCCGCCCAAGCCCGCCTGTCTTCAGTCACAACGCCCCGTACAGTACTCACAATGCCGTGCTCCTGAAGTATCTCCACGTTTTGGAAGAAGCTCTGCTCGTCGTCTTCACAGTCTGAAGCCACGTCTCCGTTCGCAACTACTTGATCCCCCATTCTGATTGAAATGTTGAGGTCTTCTTCTCTAAATTTTTCACTGGATTTGTAGAGTTCACGGCCGTTATCGCGAGCTCTGAGCTGAGACAAGACAACTGTCAACTGCAACGGCGGCTGTGCAAGTACGTTAACCCCGTTCCGTTAAACCGGAGATTCAGAATGGCGCGCACTAATGGCTGGTGGAGTGCTTTCCGCCCACTCGGCCAGACTTCGTGTGACTAGAAACAAAATTAAAGCGGATATTGCGGATATAAATCCGTAGAAAGATACTACGCTGTTGTTGTCGTGTTTAAACGTTACAAAATGTTCTATATTGGAAATGAAAGTGAATATAAAGACCATATATTTGCTTGTGGTAACGCGTGACTTCGCACGTTGGCACCACCGCATGCTCGGTCGGGAGATCGGAAACGCAGATCCGTCTTCTTCCTTACCTTCTTCTTCCCTCAAGATTCAGACAGCAAGATTCGAAACTGGAAAGCAAACTTGAGTGTTTTGTAGTATGGACCATGGCGTCAGGCGGCACCGCTGAGGTTCTGCTTAGCGTTTTGAATACAGAAGAGTACAATCTGATTCCTGAAGATGTTCGTGCGAAAATTAATTCTCACTTTGAAGAAAGATTTGAGGAATTCCTCACTTCAAAAGCTCTCTTCGAGTCGTCCCGAACCAAACATGGTAAGTTGCCTCTAACAACGAAGCCGATTGCGCCTGGGGCCCCACCTGTAAACAACACTGAACTCATTTGACTGTCCTTGTTTAATTTATTTCTATTTGTCTGCATATTAGAAGGCCGAAAAGGAATTGACACTCCATGTTTTCTCTTTTTATAATTCCTTTTATCATCTCCGAAAGCATTTTCTAACCTCTCAATTTGACTTAAACAATATTTGAATTAATCAAACTGTTTGACATTCCTTTCGATTTTCCCGTTTATGAGCTTGTTTTTTTGCACTGTTTGTATTTTCTTTTAATTAGGTATTTAAGATGTCAAAGTGATGCAGAATGAAGGGTTAAAATTCCCAAGTTTACTTGACTTGTCTTAAAGATTGCCTTTGACTTTGTGTGTTGCAGATGAAGAAAGACAGACACTTGGGAAAGACCTGGAAGAGAGTCAGATTGAATTAAGAAGCCTCAAAGCTAGGTTAGCCGAAACTGATTCAGAATTGGACCTTTTTCGTTCCAAAGTTGAAGAGTTGAAATCTGACCTCTCCACACTAAGAGAATCTGTAAAGAAGTAAGACAACATTTCTATCATTCCTCTATGCAACTGCAGAAACTCTTGTTAATCGCATTTAACTTTCAGTTATGAATATGAAAATGGTGATCTACGGCGTCAACGCAATGAGGCTGTTGATGAGAGAGACAGTCTTACGAGAATGGTGGAAAGGAGAGACGCTGAACTGGAAAGGCTTCGTGAAGATATCAAAGTGCTCTCCGCCGAGTTATCAGCTGCTATTAATGCTAAGTGTGAAGCTCTTGCTAATGCGGAAGAGGTAGAAAGTAAACAATCTGCTCTTGATTTTAGGTTGGTTCTTCCCACATTTTGTCTTTTCTATAACATCAATTTGGCTTGCTAATCAACTTGCCTCTCTGGTTTAGGGAAAAGAGCTTTGAACAAGAACGTGAATTTATGAAAAAGAAAATTGCTTCTTTAACTGCTGATCTTAATGAAACTAGTGCTGAATTGACAATGTCACGCCGGAAACTAGCTGCTGCTGATGTTTCTTTCCAAAGTCAATTGGAGGCTAAAAATGAGGAGGTAGGTTGATTGGATTTCGTCCCTTAAACCATCGGAATTGAAATTGTTTTGTTGATATGAATGTCTATGGTGTGTTTTAGCTCCGAATAGTATTGGAGAAGGATAAACAACTGACAGAATCTAATAATGAGTTGGTCGAGAGGATTGAAACACTTTCTGCCAAACTCATGTCACAACGTGAAGGTGAAGCAACAATAGTAGATAACTATCAACAAGAACTTCAAGCCAAAGCAAAACTTGCTGACCTGTATCAACGTATGTTGTTTGTAATTTATTTTTTTCCCTTCATTTGCACATTTCTATGATGTTGTCTTGTTTTGTTGTAGGAATGATGGAGGATGCAAACGCAAAGAGTCAAGAATTAGCTGATGCCATCCGTAGTTTGCAGCGCTTGCTAGAGGAATCGAACAAACAATACTCAGATCTTAAGGCAGAGCTTAATGAGAAAGAATCAAAATTAAACCAGACTCTAGAAGCCAAGAATGCATGTATTGCAACTCTGAAACAGGAATTGAAGGATGCCAATGATCTGATGAAGGCTTCCAAACTCAGTAAGTTTTAACTAACTATTGAATGTTTACTGCTTCTATAGACAGATCATTTCTTACCTCATTGATCTGTTACAGACACCATCGAAAAGGCTATTGAAGGAATGTCTCCTGCAGCTGCCGCAGCAAGTAAACTGATGAAATCTGGACTGTCACTGACTCAAATTTACACTCAGTATGTCACTGTGTTTGAAGAATTGACTCTTCAGAAGGAAGAAAATCACAAGCTTAATCTCTATATCAACACAATAGTCCAAGAACTAGAAGAGAAAGCACCTATCTTGAAGAAACAGAGAGAGAACTATGAAAGTGCACTTGAGAGCATTGCCTCACTTTGCAAGCAGAATGACCAATTGGTTGAGGAAAGTAGAGTTTTGAGAGAAGATGCTCGCGAAGCCAAAAAACTTGCAGGCCACCATGTACGTGAAAATGAGCGGATGAAGAAAGAAATTAGTGACTTGTCGCGGCAAGTGTGTTTCTTAGTGAAGGCTGTAGAAGAAGCACGAGGTGGTGTTATTTCATACGATGATGCTGGGAACTCTTCCCTGAATGGTTCCTTTGGAGCCAATGATGTAAGTACTTGCTTGTCTATAACTTTTGCTTCATCCTTTCTCTGGTCTAACTTTTTGTTTCATACCAGATTATTTCCAAGAAACTTGTAACATTCCGTGACATTGAAGACTTGCAAGAAAATAACAAAAGACTGCTGGCATTGGTCAGAGAGTTGAGCAGCAAACATGAGGAATTGGAAGCCAATCGCCCAGAAATGGACATGTCTGCACTCCAAGAGCGAATAAATGGTCTTGCTGCAGAACTTTCAGCCTCGAAGGAAAATCTCAACCATCAAACAGCATTGGTAGAGCAGTTAGTCCGCCAGAGGGACTTATACAGGGACATGTACCAGAAGACCTTAAAGGGTGATCCTAATCAACAGGTAAAATAATTTGGTGTTATTTTAGTGTTCTATTATCCTTGCAGGTGGTGATGTGTCATTCTCCATTTCCATTTCATTCGGAGGTGTGGTATTTTATTGTTATTCTTTTGCGTGGTTTTAGGAATCTCTACAAACATCAGAAATTAGTCCTGTACCTTCGCCAGTTAAACTTTCGCACTCAACTGTAGACGCAGGTGTGCTAGCATCAAAGCAGAGAGCTCTAGAAGAGGTGAGATCATGACAGTCTTGCAGTATTCAGGTTGGCGACACTCACTTTATTATTATTATTAATTCATTTTTTTATCTTGTCTTTAGGCTGACAAGCGAGTGGCTTTCACTGAAAAGCAGCTTCATGAGTTACGAACTGAGTATGAGGAGTATCGGAGAGAGCGACGCACCAATGAAGACATGCTTACAGAACAAATTGATAAACTTATGTGTGAAGTGAGAGAACTAACTAATGATAAGCTTAAACTTACCACTCAGGCTGAGTTCCAATCAGAGCGGTTCAAGGCACTTTTGGCAAATGGATCTGGGCAAAAAGCTCAAATTGCTGCTCTTGAACAAAAATGCAAGTCCTACAGTGAAACCATAGCTAAACATGAACTATCAGTGAAGGCATTGATGCAGGTGAGTGCCAAAGTGTTTGAGAACCACCATCATTAAGAGATTGCATTTGTTTAATAATGGCTGTCATTTTTTTAGGAATCTCTCAGTGCCCAAGCAAAGCTATCTCGTGCTGAAGTGGAATTGGACAGTCTGCGCCAGGAATGCTCCCTGCTTCGCGAGTCAGAGGCAAGATTAAAGCGCGAGAGAGAGGGGCTCCATCGCGAATCGTCTGGGCAGACCATGCTCCTTGCTAATTTGGAGTCAATCAAGATGACCCTTGAGCGAACTGAGACGGAGGGCCGGCTCAAGTTAGAACAGCGCCTTGATGAATGCACTCGCGAATGTATTGCTCTACGGAGAAGGCTGCAAGAGGAACAAGAAAATTTCAAGGAATTGTCTAGACATTTAGAAAGGCAGACTGCTGCAGCAGTAGCCAGAGAAGAAGAGGAAAGAAAATTGGCTCAAGAAGCTCGTCAAGAACTGACCATGGTTAAAGATGAACTACAAAAGAAGCAGTCTGAAGTTGAAGTTTTGGAGTCAAAGTTACGTGAAGCTTCTAGAACGCCACCAGTTGTTGTTCAAAGAAATGATGAGCAATTAACTTCACGAGTGAGAGAGCTTGAGAGCAAACTTGTCTCTAGCGAAGCGGAAATTATATCTTTAAAGCAGCAAGTTGAGAATGCCCGCAAACATTTACAGCAATACACTGAAATTGCTAGCAGTTCTGAGCAGCAGCTCAATGAATATGTCAGAATGCATGAAGGTCTGAAGTCAGATCTAGAGAAGAAGTTGACAGAATCACAACACAAAGAAGAAAGCTTAATTGCGGAACTTTCCAAACTTCAAACAGAATTGTCTCGACTAAAGGCTGCAGGCAGCCAGACATCCTCTGATCTTCAGCTCCAAGTTAAAGAACTGGAAGAGCAATGCAAGCAGGCAAATGATCTATTGCGCCAGGCATCACAATCTGGTGACAATATTATGAAGGAGCTTCAAGCTGTTCGGCAAGAGAGGGATGCGTCCTTAAGGGCACAACAGGAGTCTGAGGAGAAATATGCCCATGAGGTGACATTACATTCCAAAGATATCCAAACACTGTCACATCTGAAGGAGGTCCTGTCCTCAGTCAATGCTCAAATATTAGAGCTTCAGGAGGCCCGCCGCAGCTCTGAAGAAGCACTCAATGTTGGTCGGGCTTTGTTTGAGGATCGTGAGAAGCTCATGAAATCTCAAATGGATGAACAGCAGCAGCGTTTAAATGATCTAGAAAAACAGAACAGTTTATTGCATGATCAAATAGAAGCACTGGGAACTCAGCTCACTGTTCTACACGCCCAAGTGGGATCACCTAAGAAGTCCTCTACTCCAGCAAGTGCCACTTCTACGAGTGTTAGCTCTTCATCTGTAGAAGGTGAAGACTTCCGAGGGCCAGAACAGTTGTTGGCAGTTATTAAGTTCCTGCGTCGTGAGAAAGAATTAGCTGTTACTCGCATGGAAGTTCTTAGTTCTGAAAATAGTCGTCTGAGAGCAGAGCATGATATTCTTGTGAAACAAGCACGTGAATCTGTGGAAGCATTGGAGCAGATGAAGCAGCGTGAGCAGTGTGAAACAGTTACGGCTACACGGCACCAAGAACTTCTTCGCAAGGTTGAGACGCTTAATGCTATCACTGATAGCAACAGGTTATTACGTGAAGAACGAGATACACTTAGATCAAGAGAACAGGAGCTAGTCACCAGGTTAGGGGCTCTGGAACAGGAACTGAACCCTCTCAGAGAGAAACACAACACGCTTAGCAATCAAGTTGAATCTGTTCGTGCTGAGAACAATACTTTGAAGACTGAGCTAACAAAATGGAGGCAAAGGGTTAATCAATTGATTGAGCGTGCAAATAAAAATAGTCCTGAAGATTGGAAGCGTCTCACAAACGAGCGTGAATCATTGGCAAAGCAGTTCTCTGCTGAGAGAGAAGCTCATGGCAAGAGCCAAGATGAGCTGAGAATGTTGCGACAAGAAAAGACTAAAGTGGATGAGCAGTATCAACTTCTATCTCAGAGGCACAATGCCTTGGAAGCAGAATTCAGGAAGAATAGTGAGACTGCTAGGAAACATGTGGAAGAATTAAACAGTTTACGAAGTCGTGTTGCTACCCTGGAATCTGAGTTGCTAGAACAAAAGAATAATGCCAGTAAGGTTACTGAAGAGGTAAATAAGTTGAATGCTGATATATCAGCCCGTGAAACAAGAGAACAGCAAATACGAAAAATTGCTAAAAAGTACAAAGCTCAATTTGAAGAACTCAAGAAGAGCACTGATGAAGAGCGAGTGCAATGGGAGGCTCAGCGTGCTCAACATGAGAATCAAGCTGCTGCTGGCATGCTGACGCCAGAAGCTAAAGAACAGCTCCGGGAAGAAGGAAGGCGTGAAGTGGAGCAGAAATTGCGTGATGCTGAGACAACGCTCACAGAACAAGTTAGAGAACTGACCAGCCAGGTGAGTTCATCCCAAGAGGAGGCTGGTACTCTACGCAGAGAAATAGAAAACTTCAAAAGTTCTGAAGACAGAGCTAAGACAGTTTTAAAGAATGCTCGCAGTCGCATCATGCTTTTAACAGAGCAAAAAGCAGCCGTAGAGAAGCAACTGAGTGAGTCAAGACAACAGAGAGAGTCTAGAGATGAAAGTGAGGCTAGACTGAATGTACTAAAGTCTCAGTATGAAGGTCGCATTGCACGCATGGAAAAAGAAAAGGCTGAAGCTTTGGCCGAACGCAGTAGAGAAATTGAAAATCTTTCTGCGAGATTAAATCATCTGCAACGCATGTTTGAGAGCCGCTCTCAAGGATCCAGCAAACCCTCTACATCCTCACTTGTTGAAAAGAGTAGCACAGAACCACCCACAGCTAATATAAAACCCATGGCGGGGCCATCATCTTCAAGTGGGAAACAACAGGTCAGTGCATGCTCCAATTTTGAATAATATCATTTAAATTTATTTTGTAATTTATTCTATTACTTGTTTCTCATTTTTAAGACTCAACAGACAGTTACTGTTATACCATGGAGGGCAGGCAATGAGACTCCATTGGCCAGCATTAGGCCAATGTCTCAATCACGGATGGCAGCAGTGCAGCCGCAGCAACCCAGGTAAGATAACAGAAAAGGTGGTGGGCTCTTTTTGTTGGGCCGTATAACATGAGCAGTTGTTGACCATTGACTCTGTTGCAGTGGCAGTACAGCTGTCCTGATGCCCCTGCACCACCAGCAGGCTCAAACACAGCAACAGCCTCAGCCACCCTCTCAGCAGCAGTCCCAAACGCAGCCACCTCAACAAGCTGTTCACACGACCGGCGCTGGGTCGGGCGCTGCAAGTACTTCGAATGGGTCTGCTGGGAGCGGTATGGACGCCATTACATCCTCGGACTACATGGCCGCCACCTCATCTGCGTCTGCATCGCCAGCATCTGTTGGACCCATCAGGCAAGTAGCTGTCCCACCAACCCAGCAAGCCACTGTTGGCCCGTCTACCAGCAGGGCAGAGGAAGCGTCTGCTGAATCAACTCAGGTAAGTTAGCGTTCTGGAAGAAGAACATTAGAAATCTGTGTGCAAGGTTTACTCATTTTTGTTGTGTTTGATGTTCCTGTTCAGGATATGGAGGTAGATGCACCTGAACGTCAAGATGGTTCATCTGCTCAGCAAGCCCGTCCATCTGCGCAGCCAAGCCAACAACCCCAGGCTCCAATGCAGCAAGCTCAGCAGCAAGCTCAGCAGCCGGCTGAGCAACAAGTTCAACAAGAATTTCAACCAGCGCGACAGCTAGTGCTACAGCATGTCCTGCAACATGGCCGACAACAAGCGCAACAACAAGCCCAACTGCAATCGCAGCAGCAGCCTCAACAGCAGCAACAGCCTCCGGCATCACAGCCACTTCAGCAGCAGCAACCACCCACACTGCCACAGCAGCAACCACCACCACAGCAGCAACAACAACAGGCCCCACCCAGGGAATCGCAGGCCGCTCCAGTACAAGCACAGAGCAGCCAGGTTCCATCGCCCCAACCACAGCATCCCCTTGGTCAGCAGACACCACCTCAACAAGTGGTTGACCAGGAGCAGCCTCAAACTACTCCACACCAGCAGCTCACACCCCAGACCCCACAGCAAGCACCAGCTGCACAGCAGCAACAGCCTCCACAGCAGCAGGCACAGCCTCAGCAAGCTGTTGCCATGGTTTTGCCGCGCGAACGCGTTGAGCTACAGCAAGTTCAGCAACAAGTCCAACAGCAGGCCCATGCAGCAAATAATCAGCCACAGCAACCACAGCCACAGCAGGTCCAGCAGATGCAGCCTCCTGCAGGCCCTGCTGCTGGGCCAGCTCAGCAACAATCCACCATAGCTTCAGCTGTAGCTACACCTCCTGCTACGACTCCTCATGCCCAGCAGGAGCAGTCTGTGATAGTGGCAAGCAGCCAACAGGCCAGTAGTTCTAGCACTGTCACTACATCCCAATCTGGTGTGAAGCGACCCAGGGAGGTAGAGGGTGACAGTTCCACCAGCCGAGCTGTACCTGGCGAAGGAATTAAAATGGCGCCACAAGTAAGTTACTGTATATGTTTTGTTGCATTATTTTGTCAGTAGGTAAAATTCCAAATATTTAACTAAAATTACTTTGCAGCTAAAACGTTCCCGTCTGGGTCCTGTAGTTGGAGACTCTTTCCAAGCTCCTGCAGAAAGCTCTGAATGCAGTGGCCTTGATGTGGAATATCAGGTCCCTACATCATCTCAACGTGATCAGGAAGATGATATTATTGTAGTTACTTCAGAGGAGGAGGAGGATGATGAGGAAGAAGGTCCTGAAGACGACGATGATGAAGAACCTGATGATGGGCCTGAATTCCAACCCGATGAAGATGAGGATAATGAAGAAGGCTATGAAATGGAAACATATGACAGGGAGGATCGGGACCTTGCAATGGCAAATTATGATGACGTAGAAGGACCAGACATTGATGATGAGACTGGTGGTGAACAAGATAACGAAGTGGAAATAATTGATGATAGCAATGAAGTTCCAAATCAGCCTGGCAGCAGTAGTAGTAGCAGCGGTGGTCCTATAGATGCCACACCGCATGTGGGGTCATCAGCTTCAGGGGAACAGTTGCAATCAGTTACAGCCACACACATTTTACCTTTGCAACAACCATCTCAGCAGCCCCAGTTACCTCAACAGCCGCAGCAACCTCAGGACCAACAGCAATCATCTTCTGAGGCAACATCTAGTGGAGCAACTAACCAAAGTGACAATGGTAACAGCAGTGGCAGTAGTAGCAGCAATGGTGGACCGAGTGGAATTAGCAATAACCAGGTCTCTAGCCAAGGAACACCTGTGTCTCTTGGCTTTGTGCCCCGAAGCAGAACTATTGTTCCTCCTCTGAACAGACAGCAACTCACTTTGGTAAGATAAACCATTGATACAATTTTTTTCTCTCCTATGCTTAGTTTAGTCTTGTGGCACCTTAACAGTGTTTGATTTTACCACAGGGCTATGGAGATGACGGTGGGGATGACGGAATCGTTCCAAGCACTCCAACTCTCTTTGTTCCTCGACGCACTGATGGTTTTGGAGAGGCAGTTAGCTCACCTCAAGTGCCTTCGGCTGGACGTTTTACTTTCTCTGATGCTAACCCTCCTGCTGTCAGAGCAGGTAAATTACACTGTGATTTTGTGTTGTTGCTTTCTAGTAGGCAGAAAGATTGAAGAATCACGCCCTTAAAACCAGTAGGAGGAGGTTCTATTAATATTTGTTTGTTGCACTAGTTTTGACTGCATTTCTTAAAGCAATGAAAAAGTGATTTTTTTAAATTCCTATTTATTTTGCATATGTGTGTTGACTTTGAATGTTTGTTGTTTGATACATTGATTCAATTAGTGCTTGTAAGAATCAGCACATGCTTCTTCCACTCATAATTTGTTGTTTTTAGTGCCATGTACCCCAACCCTCTTTGGCACAAGACGTGCAGAGGGATATTCCGATGCATTCCGAGCAATGTCAGTCCGCCACTTCACGTTCTCAGAAGCCCCCACTCCCCCGAGTCATACAGGTCAGAGACTGCTCTTCCCGCATATACGGTGTGCAGCTCTCGCTTCTTTTACCTTCGCTCCATTTAATAAGTATTTTACATTGGAATAAAAACATAATTTCTCAAGGCTCTAAATTAACTTGTCAGTGCTGTGGACCTTGTTGCAATTGGTTTGGAATAAGTCTCCTGTCCTTTGGTTCACAGAAAAAAAGCAAGGATTAAAGTTTAAATTTTTCCTCCTAAAATAAATTTGTTACTGATTTGTCAAACTACAGTCTTAATTTTGTGCACTATGCTCCCTGGGTTGTTTGCTGTCTTTTGAATCTTTTACCTTAAAAACCTTTTAACATTGTTAAAAGTTTTTTTTTTTCCTTAAATTTGCACATAAGCTTTCTTTTGCCTGTACTTTTTCCATTTTGTGTTATGCTTTGCTTTTACAGCTTTTATTGCTCATTTCTCTGCTCTGCTTATATATGGGAAACTTTGTTTATGCTCAGGTGTTGCACAAGTTGTTTGCGAAGGAATGGATGACACAAGAGTAGATTTGTCCCAGCTTGAAGATCCTGGCACTGGACGCAGTGTTCCTACCACTCCTCTGCAGGTGTCCCCTCAGGGTATGCACTTGGCACCACTATCACAATCTCTTTGAACTGAAACTTTGTGACCAGCATTGAGCCAGATAATATGTATTAATACTTTCCCTTATTACAGAAGACCTTACATCAAATGAATTAACTGCAGAAGTTGGACAGAGCTCTGAAAATGTAAATGTTAATGTTGATGCCAGTGGAAGTGCAGCAGGTACCAGCCCGCTTCCTCCTTCCTTAGTGATAGCATTGGCTGAACGCCAACAGGTTGAATGTCAGCCGCCTTCAGCACAGGATGCTCTTGGTGAGTTTATCCAAAGTTTCTTCTTACAATAAAAAGATACCTCAAAAAATTTAAAATGACTTACCATGTCTGTGCTGTGCTTTCTAGATCTTGAGATGGAGAACGATCAAAGAGAGTCTGGAGGAGATGGAGTTGAATTGATTGGAGAGCAGGCTGATGAACCTGAGGAAGTCATGGTGCTGGATCTTGAAGAAGAAAGTGCTGATGGTGGGTAGTGTCATTCTTTCCTTGTTACTCCTGTGTGTAATGTTGGACTCGTGGAGCATGTTTCCATCCTTTGTCCGGACGCGAACCCCTTTTAGTGTGCGTGGTATGTGACTTGACACTTTGCCCTCGCCCACGTTGCAGGCGTGAGCTCGGAGGGGTCCAAGCCGCCACAGCCCTCCCAGTCGCAGCAGGCCCTGGACCTCGAGATGGAGGAGGGCCGTGAGGCGGAGGCGACCGAAGCGGAGGCCACAGAGCCCTCGGCCAACAGCCCGCTCGGCAGCCCCCACGGCAGCCCCCACGGCAGGGGCCAGGGCTCGGGCACGGCCAGGAGGTCTCAAACGGGCCCGCGGTTTGCCAGGAGAGGGGGCCGCGGCAACCAGCGGCCCACTCCCATCGTTTGGAACGAGCCAGGATCCACTTCGCCCCGATGTTAGTGCCGTTGCCGTCCAACTGTTGCTAGAGAATTTTGATAGATTTGTTTGTTTTGAATAAAGTGGTGACTAACGCTTACTCGGATTTGATTGGCGTTCTGTTCCTTTCCAGCCGTGGGGGATGGCTCGTCGCGTGGGGGAAGAGGAATGCCTATGATGCCCATGATGCCAATGATGCCTATGATGCCCATGGCGCGGGGGATGCCGCTCGACTCCAGAGGATTCTCCGCCCGCGGTCAGAGAGCACGGCGCGGCAGGAAACCCTACGGCGGAGGCCCGTTCAACATGCCGTACTGATAACTAGAGCTCATAAAGAACTCACTGACTTGGCTGTACATATGATGCATTTTTATTTGTATTAAACTCAGTATTTAGACATCTGAGTCTTTTAAAATGAACTAAAGGGGAAAAAAACGTATGTAGTATGAAGTTTTTTAAAGTCAGTGTACCATGTTATCACCTTTTGTTGCCAAGTTGGGTATCAGTTGATCTGATAACTGAAATCTGTGATGGACCATACAGTGCTTGTGTATTTTTTAATTTAGAAGTGAATAAGTATTTTGTGTAAGTGACATTCATCCTCAATAAAGGTTGAAATGGTTGGTTACAATTGATTTGATTTATTGAAGATGATTTCAAGGAAGTTGACACATTGTCTGTATCAGATAACATAAAATGAATTACAATATCATTTGATTACAAACTTCCAACAATTCATGAATTGCAGAAAGAAATAGACAGCAAAGAGATGCAGCTTGCTTACATGTCATATAGAATCAGGGGAAAATGCATACCTTTTCAAAATAATGTACAATAATTTGTCTGGGATAAGAGTGATTTTTGAAATCGAAAATCAGCAATTTGACTTATCTATTACTCCGTCTATTGTTGCTTCTCAGTTGCTTCTCAATTTCAAATTGACGAAGGTCAGCTCGCTGCAAAAAATCTTGTTTCTCCAAATATCTGAAACATGTTAGAATCGAGCAATAAATAACACATTTTGCCTAATGTTTTTCTTAGCAATTCTCAGCAATTGAGGAATTGAACATACCCATCTTTGCCTCGATTATGAGTCTGGATTTCCTCTTGTAAGCCCTCATCTCTTTTAAACCTTTCCCAATCTAGTTTGGACTTTTCTAGGGTGCTTATCTTTGACTTCTTGCCAATTTGACTGAGAACAGCAGAAAGACCCCCACCTCTACCTCTTGGTGCTGTACCCCGACTTGGACCACCTGCGATTGGCAATGACAGTCTAGCCTCTGTTGAATCAGCCGCCACCTCCTTTGTGACCCTAAACAAGACATATGTTTTGTTTATTGTACAGTTCTTAAACATCTGAAATAAGTATCAGAAAAACAACAGGAAAGCTTACTCCACTTTCTCCCCGGCAAATTCAAATATCTGAGTAATTTTTACTTTGTTTTCTACTTTGTTCTCCTTCTCAGTTGAAACTGTTTTGGGCAGTGCTGTTTTTACTGCAGGTGAAGAGGAGGAGTTTCCAGCTTTGGAGGAGGCTGGAGTTGGCCTCTTGATTGGACCGACATCCTTCATAAAGTCTACATAAGAAAACAATTCAGGTAGAAACAACAATGATATAAGAGCGATTAAATTTCAACAAAACAAGAAGGCTCTCTTTAAAGCTTCACAAAAAAATAATATTACCAGCCCATAAAGAATCAGCTTTTTTCTTCTCCTCTTCTTCAGTTAATTTTTCTTTCTCAATGGCTAATTCTTTTTCTTCCTCTGTTTTAATTTCATCTACAACCTCTTGCACGCTATTCTTCTTTGATCGTTTCCTGATGATGACACAATCTTTTAGTGCTTGCTACTTTGAAAAGACTAATGACAGATACAATTTCCGATTTTATGTCCAATGACAAACCTCTTATTTCCAGGTTTTCCCTTGGTAGTCCTCTTTCGTCCCTTGGCTTTCGATTCATCATCCCCACTACCCCCAGCCTCCAACTCAGCATCATCAGGGCCAGAGTCGTCCTCAGAGGGAAGGTCACTGTCAGCACCTATGGAAATACAAAAGCTTACATTGAAGCATCACAGTTTATGATACAGAACAACAGAGTAGGTAATTGATACCAATCAGAAATGTTTGACAGTACCTCCGGGAACAAAATCCTCATCACTGGAATCACTGTCAGATGGCAAGTCTCTATCATCCATGGCTCCTGTAATAATGAGTAAATTTACAAACGAATTTCGTGTCGCAAAGATCGAATTATTTCAAGTCATGTTTCAAGACGAAGTTACATGCTAGAAAAAGTGCTCTCAAGGCAGAAGGACACAGAATGCAGGTTAGGTGGGAATACTACAAAATGTTAACCTGTATAATTGTAGCTAAGATACAGGACTTCGAGTTACATCAACTCATGTTTAATAAATCAAAGACCAATTCACGACAAAGAATACAACGTGCATAAAGCTCAAAGTAAAGCTGTGCACACAAACACACACACACACACCAAGAGCTCTCCCACTGTACTCTTCATAAGAGATAAACACTCAAGAAGAATAGGGAACAGATTAAGCAGTACAATGATGAAAGCAATAATTTACCGTTTTAAAATACGTACAAATTTGTGTGCTCAGTCAAAACTTTCCAGGAGTAAGAAGCCGGCTATGAAACTACCCAGCGCTCTGGCACCTCCGTATGAAACTTCTGCTTTTCTTTCCCCTCCTCCCCTCCCCCTCCCCGTTTCCCCTCCCCACCCTTTTACTTCGCCTTTCCTTCCTCTCTCTTTTCCTTAAACCTCATTGTTTTAATAAGTTTTATGAGTCCTTTGGATTTTTTTTCTGTAAAGAAAAGTAAATTCCTTTAAATATTCGGATTGGTTTAAAACAATCAAACATGTTTATGTTACCTAGCATGTATGAACAAAAGATGGCTAAGAGGAGGGGGAAGGGGGGGGGGGTGTTGTCTGCTACAGGCATCATGACGGTCGAAACGAAAATTCTCAAGTAGAGGAAGAAAATAAACCTGGATAGGACAGATTAATTTTATTTGTATTTTAAATGGAGTCGGGGGAACGAGTGAATAATTTACCAGGTGCTTGTGCACATCATTTATCGGATTTTCACTTCTGCCTAAGTTTGATCTAGATACTTTAACCAATAAACTTCCATAGCCAAATCCTGCTCTGTTGTTGTCTTTGAAATCATTATTCTCATTTTATGTTCCTCCTGTACTGCGGTTGGCTATTTATTAGTTGTAGTATCTGTCTTCTTCTTGAAGGCAACTTTATTACCATGAAATTCAGACTTTTATTGAACCTCTTCTAACGTGTCTGTCTGAAAATATTTTCTCAGGTGTGATTTGGTTTGGAATGGGGCACCCATTTTATTGTACTGTTGGAAAAGATTTCATTCGACTGCGCTCCTAATTCAAAGATGGAGCAGACCCTTGTCAACATGCATTATAGCTCGCAAGATTTCCATACTTCTGAGCTGGACACATTAGCAAATGTATTTAGTCTCACCCCAACAGACCCACTTAATACTTTTGCAGGTACTAATATTTAACTGTTGTATATTACTTTTTTTCTTGCTGGCATCATGACCTACTGTCTTTGTTATTTGTGTAAATTTGTGTAATTGGTCTTTTCTTTCAGAAATGTGGTACCAAGTCTTTTTATGGGCATTGTTTTCATCTATTTTTGTCCACGTGATTGCTGCTGCAATATCCTTTGCAACACTTCACAAGCATAGGTTTGGAAAGTAAGTAGCCTTGGCCCATAATATGCAGTTTATCTATAAAATTTACAATTATTCATCTTACCTACCAATTGTTCTTATCTCCTAGGTTTTTTCCGGTCATGATATTGATAATGGGAGTGGTGGGTCCACTGACTTCTGGGGTCATCAGCAGTGCAGCCATAGCTTATGTTTATCGTGCGTCTAGTTTACAAATGGCCCCTTTGTACGCTCTTTTCTGGGGTGTTGGACAAACCATCATGACAGTTTGTGTTGGATTCACTAGAATATTAGCAACATTATAATTTATACATCTGTACTGCATTCCACAGCTCTGATTTACTTTAAGTACTCTCCTACATTTTGCATCTAATGCTGCAGTTCATTTTCGTTGTGAGTTTTTAATGCCAAAGTATGACAAGGAAAAAGTTAGCCTGGTCTGAGCTTTTCTTAAAAGGGAAATTAAGAAAATTTGATTACCTAGTTCTGGACTGGCAATGTCTTATTCTATTTCTTACAAATATTGTGTTTGTCATGCACCTTGAAAACACATAAGTTTGATTTGAACCCACCAAAACTTGTACCCCAAAGCTATTTTAATGTTAATGTTAATCTCTGAGAGTTGTTTGTCTCTGAGACTTTTCCTCAATGAGAATGCATTTAAATGTGTATCACTGTTTATCCTTAGAAAAGAACCTTTCCTGTTGCAGTTTTTATATCTTCTTTTCTTGTTTAGAACTCTTGAGTCCTGTGTATTGTCTGTTGTCGGCAATAATATCCTTTTGGACTCTTTGCCTTTATACTTCTATTGTCTACCTGGTGTCTGTAAATAATTTTTTTTTTTTCTGTAATGTAGCACAATGTCTCTTCTGATTGAATATATTTAAATTTGACTATTTTCCCTGCAAAAGAACAAAATACCTATTCAATTGATATTGTCTTGGAATGTAAATGTTAATATTTTGCCTGATCAAGTGAATTTCAGTTAGTTCAGAAATTCAAAACAGATTATTGTATAGTCTATGAATTGTTGTGGAGGTCTTATGTTTTAAGGAAAGGCTGTGGACTGAATATGATTAGTTTGGGAGTTGATAAATGTTCCAAGAGCAAGACCTCACATTATAGTTGATATATTGTTCCAATTGCAAGGCCCCAACCTTTCATTATGATAGGGTGCCTTTCAATCACTCAATGGTCAATATGAAATAGTACTTGTTTTTATATTGACCGTTTCCTTTTGATTTTCTTGTATACATGATCTTGTTTTCTGTTTTGGCTGTATGTTGGCTTCATGTAGAGCTAAACATATTGGTAATGCTGATAATGGTGCTTTAATTATAACTGTTGTGGAAGCTGCAGCTAATATATGGTAAAGTAGGGGTTATTTTTTTATGTGCCGAATACGGTAAATTTAGACAAAATTCTATGTTAATATTTCATTCATAGTTAACTGGTAGTGTCTTTTCTTAATTTTAAACAAAAATGTGTATTATTTTTTCAGTACATATTGTCTTCTGATAATGTTGTATGAACCAGCTGTGATTGTTAATTTTTTATTGTATATAAATAAATGCCCAGGTTTGGTGTGAAAATGTTATAACGTGTTCCTTGTGGGGCCTCCTACAATATACATTCAAGTGGCTCTGGGGAAGAGGATGAGGAGCTGTAAGTGCAGCAGGTGAAGTAGAGCAAGGGGAAGGTAAAGGGGGATCGGCATGAGCTCGGTGTGGGAGCACAGTGTGCCAGGGAGAAAGGCTGCGACGACACGACTCGTGTCGTCGCTCGGCAGGTGTCGTAACCTGTGGCAAGCGTTATAGCACCCACCGGAACAGGGGGTGAGTCGTCGGCTCTCCCCTCGTGTGAATGGAGAGTACAGCAACAGTTATGACACATGGGCGGAAGATAAGATTAAGATGGTGCGCTGTGACTGGCTCTTTCCGTGGGCTTTCCATGCATCATGCATTTCGGCGGGGCGTTACCATACTATGCCTCACCGCCTTGGGCCTTGACTGTACCAACGCGTCGGAGAGGAGGACGTTGAGGAGATGGTAGCACCAGGTTCACGGCCAAATTTCGCGGCTACACGCTCGCGTTACATGTGCACCACCTCACAAGATCCTCAAGCGTGCTTTGAGACTGAGAGGGGTCGTCGCTAGCGAGCATCTGTCACAAGCTGGCCAGTGAGCAATTATAGTCTTCAGGGTTTTCTTTTTGTAGCATAAATGGCGATGCGACACAAGTGTTTCCCGTTCACTTGAATTGTGTTCCCGTAGGTTGGCAGTTCCGCGAGGCCTGCTTCCCACGAATACCGGTAGAGTGCGCGCGGAGCGCTGTTGGCGCAATATGGCGTCTGCTTGTTGGTGTCGGAGGTTGCTGCTGCTGCGGCTGCTACTGCTGCTGCGGATGTGAGGCTGACTGACGGTGACGGTGGTGTTGTTCTGCGACAGAGTCAGAGTGCGGCCTCAGGGCAGGTCGTGATGCCTCGCGACTTGGACGGCGCCGTGGTGCTGCAAGGGCTCGGAAGATCAGTGGAGCAAGTGACAAGGTGACAGACTCGCCATGGGTGCGAAGGCAAGCACTGCGACCGCGAATGCGAATGGCGACGGGGTCGGGGGGCCCATGGGGGGCCATGGCCATGGACCCAGCACCAGGTCCCGCACCTTCTCGGCCAGCAGCAGCGCCGAAGTGGTCGGCACGGGTGTCGCCGGCAGCGTGAGTGGCGTTGGCCACGTCCCCGCGGGCCTCAGCTTCCTCAGAGTGCACACGGACAGACAACGAGAGCGGGCACGGTCCTTGTCCAGTGTGCCGACCCTGGACATGAGCAGCCCGACGGCCATGGCCTCCACCATGAGCCACGACATGGCCCTGCACGGGCTGGCCCACGGCGTGCCCGGCATGCCGCACGGCCACCATGCCATGGCGCACCACGGCGTCTACGACATCTCCGAGTCCGCGGAGTCTGACAGCAGCTCGCTGTCGCACGAAGAGCACGCCCTGGACGGGCTGAACCTGGGCAGGGTGTACGCCGCGCACTCCCTGCCGACCAACATCTGGTCACTCAACGGTAAGTTGTTCCTGTTGCTGGACATGCATGCGATGTTGTTGGCCGCGCCCTGCTCCTGGTGCGCCGTGTCGAGACAGTGCCGCGGAATGGCTTGCAATCTTAGTCGCACAGTCGCGCCTGGGTCGCGGATTGGCGCTTGGAAATATGGCTGCCAGGCCTTGCAGGCTTGGTCCAGTGCTGCTCTGCTCCACTGGCGACAGCTTTTCTCCTCGCAGCGCGGAGCCACGGCGGGGAAGTCAGTCGCAGAGGATTGCGTTTTCTCGTAGCTGCCCGTGGGAGCGGTTGTCATTGAAGCCTTAGGCCGGCCTCGTCTGCGATGTGTTGTTGTTTTGGTTCCTCCTAACCTCCTTAGGCAATAGTCTCTGCTACAGATCCCTTGCCAATTTCTTGTCTTGTTTAGCTGCTTGTGTTTTGTTCGCCGTGTATCCTCAATTCCTCTCTCCTGCCTTAATCATGTCGTCACTTTAAGCAACATAATTTTATTTGGTTTACTTGAACTGGTCCTAGCTTAAATAGCTGTTGTACTGGAATGACCTTTTGGTGGCCTTGTTTCAATTAGAGACCTTGGTGGTGGCATGCCCTCCTTTTGTAGTTGTAATACAGGGATAGGTAAAAGTGAAAAATACAAGCTGATTTTTAAAAAATTAGCTGCAATCTGATTGTTGTTGCTTGTCTTGTGCTTTTAACGTAATGTATATGGTGACAATTGTGGAATAATTTAAGGGGTGAAAAGAAAATTTAAAACATCACTTTGTAATAAGTTTCGTAGCTTTGTCGTTGGATTTTTAAACACCTCACCTGCCCTCGAAACATTCTGCTTGGTCAGTGCCGCCCTTATTACTATGAGGCTATTGCAAGGACAATTGCATGTCCTTCAGTGATTGTGTTGTGACCTGATACTGTCTACAGAGTTATCTCAAGAAGTTCAGATAAACTTGTGTGAGGTCACTGGCCTGTGCCTGCAACTCATTTAAGAATAACCAGGTGGATGGGAATCATGTCGTACATGAGCGTCAGATTCATGTTGGCTTTTTGAAACGCTGCTCCATGAGCAGACGTTGTGCATGGTTCCGGTTGGACTTTCCAGCGTTCTGATCCCGTGAGCGTAATCTGGCCCTGCCCGCTGTGGCGCCGTGACGCTGACGCTCGGGCTCGGGGGAGTTTGGCTTGCTCGCTTGCGCCGACCTTGGCTTTCCCGTGCGCTATGCCCAAATGTTGTGATGCCAGGCGAAGCGGCGAGCGGCGGGGCGCTGCGATAGGGCAAGACTGGCAAGGCAAGACGAGACGACGCGGACGCTTTATCGACGTATTGGATCGCGGCCTGCGCCGCCTGCAGCCTGCAGCGTAACGCGGAGGCCGTTGCCCCGCTGCACCGCTGCATCGCCGGATGCCTACTTATCGGGGGTCGTGGCGATGATGGGGATGGGCTCCGACGTGTCCCCGCTGGGCGCTGGTCTGCCCTGCCCTGCCGGCCGCCCAGCACAGTGGGTGCCAATAAAAGCAGCGGGGCCATTCGGCTCAATGGTGGTGTTGTACCACACAGTAAATAGATTCCAATTCCCCTCCGCGCTCGACTCATTCATAGAGTCCCTCCCCGAGGGACGCGCCGGGCGGGGCGGGGTGGGGTGGGGCGGGGCGTGGGGGCCTAAGCCCCTTGTGCAGTCGGCAACCCGCAAAGCGGTCTGCCTGCAGCACACGTCAATTTTTGAACCTGCGGGCGCCGCGGAACATCAAGAATTGAGGCAAAGCCGCAGAGGTTGTGGCGTGGCTGCCGCGGCTTGCCCCGGCCCAGCCAGACGTGCGCTGACCCCGTCCGCCCCGCCGCGCCCCACCGCCCTTTGCCGACGCGCCGCTAATGGCCGTCGCGTCGCTGTTTAGACGCGCACTCGGCCCGTCACTGCTGCCCGCCCTGCCCGCCACCCCGACACGCCATTAGAATCTCCATTTGGCTATATTGAAAATCTGTATCACCGACGAGCTTAGCCTGACGCTGACAGGCGGGGGCGGGGGGTGGGTGCAGGCGTGGCGGCGCGGCTTGGCGGTACAGTATCCACTCGATGAGGCCTCGGGGAGGGAGAGGCAAGGACCTCCGGGGGGGGGGGGGGGGGGGTCGTCAAGCAGCCGGGGAGACTGGGGGTTTGTTGGTGGTTACCAGACTGATTGCACAATTTCGGACGCCGATAAGTGCATGTGCGCCGAACTGAATAATTGATGGAGGGGCGGGGGGTAGTCAGAGCGTGGTGTTACCTGGCTGACGTGATTACGCGGCAGGCCATGTGGAGCCAATTTGAGGCTGTGCCGAGCCATGCCTCGTTGCCCGGTTGGGGCCCGGGGCCGGCTAGGCTGGGAGCTGGGATTGGCGGGGGCGCACCGGCACCGTCGGCCTGGCCGCTCGTCCGCCTGGCTCCCTCCTCGCTATCTGCACTGCGCGGCCTCCGTACAGATAAGGCCTGCGAGCGCCCCAGCGGCCCCAGCCGCACCGGGGCTTGTGGCGTCGCAGCGTAGCGCAGGGCGGCTCGCGGCCACCGGCCGCCAACTCATTCCGCGCGTAGTCTTCCCTTCCCCGTCTCTCTCGCACTCAAGGGGCGTCCCGCACAGGCGCGAGAGAGACAGGGCGACGAAAACAACGTGCGGATTGAGACTATGCTGGCCGGGGCCGGGGCGCAGAGTGAACCCCCCACGCCAGCCGGCACGTTGCCACTCTGTCTAGTTGGGGGAAGGTTCACTCCACTGTAGTACAGTGCAGGCACGCGGTGGTGACGACGCCGTGGTCTCCGCGGTTCGTCGGCCTGCCGCACTGTTGCCTGTTTGATGTGGGGCTGGCGCTCGTTGGCGCTCGCTGGCAGCGTGGCGGCCAGGCGCGGGTAGGCAACACTGGCGACCGCACGCAGGGGTGCCGTGCGGGCCGGCCTACCTCGACTCGTCGGGCGCTCCGCTCGCCTCGCCGCGGCCCGCCCGGCCCGCCCTGCGGCAGTGCGAGCCTCGCCTCTCTCTCCCTGCAGATTGATTCCGAGAGCAGTTTCCGCCGCTTTGCCTCTCTCGCACTCTTGGGGCAAGAGAGACAGGGCGACGGAATCAGTCTGGACCTGCGCCATCCGCTGCCCCACTTCCCCCACTTCGTTCTCGCGTTTGCCCTCCGGTAGAAGAGGGATCAAACGGAGTGTGCCGCTTCTCCTCGTTCGTCACGTTCCCCGGGCTTGCTTGCCGAGGCTCACCGTGTCCGGGGGTTGCTGGTGGCGCTTGCACGTGGTCCGCGGCCGTCCTTGAGCCGCGGTGGAGTGGGGCGTCGCCAGGCGTCGCCAGGCGTCGCCAGGCGTCGCCAGGCGTCGCGCTGCGCAGCCCCGCACCTCTCCGATTCGCACTTTTATCAACCCGGCGCCTTGCTCCCCTGCCGCGCGACGACGAGGCGAGGCGAGGCGAGGCGCGGCGCGGCGTGCAGTTTGTTGTCCATTCCCCCTGCCTGTCCGCGCCCCTGCTGCCCCTGCTTCGCGCGCTGCCCGTATTTTTAGCCATTGATTCGGCCGCGTGCGAGACGGCGCCTCACTGCCTCGCCGGGCGCCTCGCGCGGCGCGGACGCAGCGTTGCCAGCAGCGCCAGCAGCCCGCTAGAGCTGTAATTGGGCTGCATTCTGCGATCCGCGATGCCATCTGCATTGGGGCCACTCTGGCGGGCTAGCTGAATTGTGCGGAGCCTCGCGGGGCGGCCCGACAAAGGCCCGGAGGACGCCAAGCACTGTGCCAAGCACTACGCCGCGCACTACGCCGTGCACTATCGAGCGTCAGCAGCAACGGCGCCGAGGCACGGCACGGCGTGGTCGGCCTGCGCGGCGGTGCGAATGCGACCCTCTCTCTCCCTCTCTAGGGCCCGACAGAGGCTCTATCCCGCTTGCGTTTCCCCTTCTCCTTCCTTTTCCTTCTTCCTCGTTGCACCCTGGTGCACTCGTCTGCTTGGAATTGAGTGATCCGCGCGGTCCCGAGACTCCCACCTAACGAGGACTGCGTCTTCAATGCAAAGCAGGCCTGCCGAGCTGTTCAGGAGAGTCACCTCGTCGCTGTCTCTGTCGCACTCATCGGGCTCTCCGGAAGGGTGAGAGAGAGAGAGAGACCGAGCGACGAAATCGCTCCTCTGAACCGCTCGGCTGGCAGGCCCGGCCTTTCCCCAGAGGCTGTGCTCGCGAGCTCTTGATGAATATGTCCATAGCGGCGACTCGGCCTGCGCGGTGCGCCAGCGAGTGCAGCCCCGAGATTGTGGGGTCCAGTCCACCGGGAAAGGGGGATGGGGGTGGGGGGTCGCGCGGGAATTGATTAAACGCTCACTCCACCCGGCCTGGCCCGGAATGATTTCACCGCCCGACCCGACGGACGACGGGTGCCGACAGCCCGACCCGAGTGGACCGTATCTCGGGCAGCTGCCGCCTCACTGCCACCACCAACCCCCTGCATTCGCTCCCAATCGCACGTCACAACACCGCCAGTGTGTTGGCTGTCCCCCCCGCCAGCGCCCCGCCGCCTCGCCCTCCTCGCCCCTGCTCACCTTGCCCGCGCGCGCCCTCCTCACTCCACTGGCACTGTCCAGACTGGACACCGAGCCGGACAGGACAGGGGCTGCCGCGTCGCCGCGCCGCCGCCCCATTGTCATCGCCCGGCCCACATTGCATTAGCGACCGCGCGGCGCTGCTGAGCTGCGACGTCACTGCGTGGCGTGGCTCGCCGGCGGGGCCTGTCCGTCCGGCCTTCTTCGGCGTGCCACGGCGTGGCAGCGCCCAGCCGATCGATGGGTTCGCCAAGTTCGTCTAATGCTGCTAATGCTAATGGGGGCGACGAGACCTGGCCGTCCTGTCCTCCCTAGGGTACAGCCCGCCTCGTCCCGGCCAGCCCGGGCCTGCCCCTCTGCCCCTCACTCCCCTTCCGTGGATGGGTGTAGTCAGCCAGACGGGGCGATGGCCCGCCACAACTTTTTACCCGTGGAATGGGCAGGGCGTGGCGGGGCGGCGCGTCCTCGCCGCGTGCCGTCCGCGTGCAGCTCTTGCGTGGCGGTAATGCGTGCTTCGCGATGCCGCCTGCCCGACCCTAGTGACCTTGTACCTTGGCGCGTCGGTGGTGTGCGACATGAATCGATCGGAAGCAATCATGGAGCGTCCGCCAACGTGTGGCCGAGGTGGGCCTGGGCGAGGGGGGTAGGGGTGCGGCGGGGCGGCCGCGGGCTGCACTCCCCGCTGATGAACTTTCCATCCGTGTGTGCCATCCGCGCCCCGCCGCGCCGCGCCCCGCCCCGCCGTCTCGTCCCGGAGTCCCCCAGCTGGCTGCGCTAGGCTGCGCTGCGCCCCCCGGCGGCCCCGGGCGAAGGGAAAGAGGGGTGGGGAAGGGGTCCTTGCAATAACGTTGACAGCTCGGAGCTCTGCCCAGCCCGCCGAGGTGCCGTGCGCTACCGTGCGCTGGCCTGCTCGTGCTCGACCTGCTCTTGTTGCTCGCAGCCCGTCCGGGCAGGCCATCCAGGTCAGCCAGGGGGCGTGGCGCGGCGTGGCACGGCGTGGCGCGGCGGGGCCTTAGCAACGCGGATCCGCGTGGCGCCGCTTTTCCGCGCCGCTTTTCTTTCCCATTTTGTTCTCCCCCTTCCCCTTTCATCAAGAAACTGGTGGTGGTGGGCGAGCGCGGCGAGCGCCTTGCGTCGGAGGTGTCGAGTTCGGGGTGGGGGTTGGGGGCTGGGGTCGCGGCGCTGCCGGTAAACAGGTTGGCTGCCACAGAGCGGCGTTCGCGCTTCGTGTCTCGGAGCTGTACAGATCGAAGCGACTACGCGGGGAGGGGAAAGGGGGAGGAGGGCGTTCCACAGCCCCGGCCCGGCTTTGGATGTTTGGGCTGTACTGGATCGAAAGCATCGGGCCCGTGCGGTTTTCGGGTGGACGCGTATTGGCACGCGTTGTCGCACCCCTTTCACGGCCGGTGGGCTGTCAGTCAGTCAGTCAGGAGCCGCCTTCGCACCGTGCCTCGCCCTCACTAGCCCCCGCACCCACACGACCGGCACAACGCGGGCCTTCCCCGGCACCGGCGCCCACTGCCGCGTTCACCGTTCAGCCCCCGGCCCCGCCTTCGTTCCCGCGTCCCCGCCCCGCCCCGCCCCGCCCCGACCTGCCGCGCTCGCGTGTCGTCCTGGGGTCGACGTCGGTCTGGGCGGCACAGCCGGGCGGCGGTTGTCTGTCGTGGGGCGAGGCGGGCGAGGCGGGCGAGGGCCATCCTTCCGTACTAAGGCAGGCTAGGCCGGGCTACGGGCTGAGGCAGCAGCAGGAAGCAACCCTGCCGAGCCGAGCCCTCTGCCTGCGCCGCCGGTACTGTGGAGAGTGACGGAGGATGTGGTGGAGGGCTTGTGGGTGCTGCCGCTGCTGCCAGACGCTGTGCATGGCCGCCTAGATGGGCATCGTGCTGGGGTCGTGCGTGCCGGACGACGCGGGCCATGCCGGCCTGGCCGCCACCCCCATGCCGCCAGCGTCCAGGCGGCCCTCCTGCAACCCTGACGGCCCTGACGGCCCTGACGGCAAATCGGAGGGCGAAGACCCGGAGGACGTCCCTCAAGTTCCCCCGGATGGCGATGACGCGAACGGCAGCGAGGACGAGGACGCGGCTGCCTCGGATGTGCCGGGCCTCTCGGCGAGCTCGACGCCAAGGCTGTCGCCGTCGTCGTCGTCCCGGGCCACGCGCAGGGTCATGTATGGTAGGGGTTTCGCACTAGAGGCACTGACGCTCTTCCACGCTCTGCCCGAACTTCGCCGTTGTCAGTAGTTCAGTGTCACTTTCCGAGGCTGCCAATTGCCGAGGCTCATTCGCTCATTCGTTGTATCAAGTTGCTGGATGGACATGCCCTTTTGTTTTAAGATCAGTGTTTTGAGACCTGTGTTTGTTGACTGTTGTTTCAGAAGTGTTGTCACTGTCTCTGGCTTCGTAAATTTAATAAATTTGCTTGTTCTTTTCAGGTATCAAGTGCCCCGTTTGTTCGAAATTCGTTCTCTCGGATGACATTGAGTGCCATATTGTCATGTGTCTAACCAAGCCACGTCTTTCATACAACGGTACGTTATTTGAACCTATGCAGTTTATAAGTTTTCAACTAGTACATTTTAAAAACTGAATAAATTAAGTTACACTTACCTCTTTTTTTCTTCTTTTGAACAGAGGATGTGCTTACCGATGATAAAGGAGAATGTGTCATTTGTTTGGAGGACCTATTACAAGGGAACACTATAGCTCGTCTGCCATGTCTATGCATCTATCATAAAAAGTAAGAATTAGGCTTTATACTCACCAATTTTAACATAAAAAAAAATTATGTGTGTGTTTTTCTAACTAATATTATTTTGTTTGTTATAGCTGCATTGATCGGTGGTTTGAAGTGAATCGCTCGTGTCCAGAACACCCAGGTGACTAAGTACAGTTCATCTACGGCTGTGTGTTGCCACCCAGGCTGTGTACCAGGCTATCTTCGGCCTGCGGCTGTGCCTTCGGCTTTGTGGTTTCAATTAAATGTGTTCCTGATTTGTTTTGAGGCCACAAACAACTTAGACTGAAGTGAGGACAGTACAAAAATCTTGGTTGCTTGGCTTGGACTTACTTACAAGCAGCAACTCAAGCCTGCCCGCTCAATATTCAATGTGCTAGTGAACTCATGTGTGTGCACGATTTTCTGCAAGTTCAATGCCCAAGAAGAAGGAGAAGAAGTCCAAGAAACCATTTAGTTCAACAGTAGTACTTTTGGAAATATTGTGGATTCCTTTTTATGTATTTGCATCACTTGTGCAACTTTTACCAGTTCATGATGGATACTTTTCTTTCTTTCTTTCTTTCATTTATTTAAATCGACTGAATTGTGAAAAAATTATAGCTGTATGGTGGAGGAAGAAGAGAAATTTTCGTTTAGACAAATGTTGTGCAGGAAAAATAAACATAAATATACAGATATATATATTGTATAAAAGTACATTTGATGGTTGATTTCTGTTTGCTAATTTATCCATTTCGTTCCTGTTTATATTGCAGCTGTCTTTGTCTACAAGAGCGGTATTCGTAACACACGCGCTTTTATTGAGTTCAAATCTGTTTTGAGTAGGTTGTCGTGAGGTTTGGGGTTGGGGATATCTAGTTCCATCATACTGTTGTTCTTACTCATTTTATCGTTTGGTTTTATTTTATTTAAAAATTTTCTGCTGTATGTTAGATTCTTCCTCTTACATTAACTTCCAAACTGTTCATTTGTGTGCTAAAATCAATGTGATGTGAGGGTTGATAAATGTCTGCTGATGCAGATTTAAAATTAATTCTTAATTCTCTTGCTATGTTACTGATAAATGTTATGGATTTGTGACAGAAATATTTTGTTTAGCTATTATGTTTACCATTGTTATGATTGTGATTACTTTTACCAATTTAACTTCTCATTTGTTATTGGACATCAATGTCCCTAAGTTTTAGTGCAGTATAATAATGTAATATTAAATGCATTAAGTCTAGCAACATGTTATTTATTTTGAAACCCCTCGGCAATCATGGCAGATTTGACTGACACTCTTTCTTTTGCTAGTTCTCCTGCAGCATTCAAAATATCTTTTCATATGGAGTTGCTAAGCCAGCCCTAAAAAATGTTAAGATTACTGTCACCATTCGCGTCCGTATCATTTTTCGCCGGCATCTTTTTGAACAAAGTTTCTCAATAAGCCGTATGGAAACAATTTTTCACACATTTGAAGCATGAAATACAAACGACACGGCGTGATACCCTCCCGGCTTCCGACGTCACGATGTCGTCTTGCTGCCGCTCTGCCTGGCTGCGCCTGCTGCTGCGGCTGCCTTGCCTACCTCACAGGCGCCTGTGACTTGGAAGTCAGTCTAGTCTACTGCTACCAAGCACCCCATCCTAACTGTTGTTCCTTGCACACAACTTCGACATTTCATGGCATCTTCTTATGTGGAAAGTTTAAAAGCGACAAACTAACTGCGACGTAGCTGTTATTTTGCTGTACTAATTTTTAATTACTATTCTGCCGTGTCTCAAAACAGTTGTAGGTTAGGTTATTTATTTTGTAGTTGTTTCCTCCAGGCTGACAGGTCATAGGCATAATATAATGCCACGGCAAATTTAGTTGCACAAGGATCAATTTAGCTAGCTTACCTTTAACTTTGATTGAAACTTCTTTTACAACCGTCTTTGAATGAATAGTTAATGAATTGGCAATAGTTTGTTTTAAAGTACCATCTGTTTCATTCTCTGTATACTTAGCAAATATTTCCTAGCTGCCCATCATAATGAATTTTGCCGGAATTATTCGCCTAAACAAATGTGGCATTCTATGTCTGGTTACCACATTTTTATTGTTGATGTTGTATATGCTAAGTAGAAGCTCAAAAATTGAAGAAAGAACCTCTGTTAATTTGAGAAAATTGCTCATAGCAGCTATTGAGGTTGCTGAAAAGGGTGGAAAAGAAGTTAGTTATGTTCGTAGCCTACCACAGCTAGATGTTGAAAGTAAAGGGAAAACGAAAGAAGGCGCCAATGATCCACTCACCAATGCGGACCGAAGATCTCACTGTGTCATGTTTTATGGACTCACCCAGGCCTTCCCTAAAATCAAAGTATGGAACTTTTGAGATATATATTTGTTGTTTGATATCTATTAATGTTTTTTAAAATTGGTAGGTAATATCAGAAGAAGAAAAGGTAGCCGGAGATTGCAACCCTGTGCAGTTGGTTGAGCTTGATCCCCGAGGCTTGGATGGACAGCCTGATCCTGGTGATGAGTTTGTTCCAGCTGAGGACATAACAGTGTGGATTGATCCACTTGATGCTACTCAAGAGTTTACAGGTATGTTTTCTAAAGTGGAAAAATTCTGTACAATTTTGTTTGTGCATTTTCAATTTCTCACTTTTGCATTTCTGTACCCTTTAGAAAACTTGGTCAGTTATGTTACAACACTCGTTTGTGTTGCTGTGCGAGGGAAACCTGTTATTGGTGTGATTCACAAACCCTTCTCTGATGAGCCAAAAACAACATGGTCGTGGTTGGGGAAAGCGAAGTCTGCTGATCTACAAAATTCCAAGACGGTAAAATTTATATGTTTTCAGATTTGAAATTGTCTATGAAACTAGCAAACATTTCTTCCTATTTTCTATTCTTTTGTTATACAGACTGATTCATCACAGCCTCTTTCCATCATTGTCTCGCGCTCTCATGCTGGTCAAGTAGAGGCGGTAGCAAAGAAAGCCTTTGGACCTGAAATTAAAGTGATCCCTGCAGGAGGTGCCGGTCAGTATACCATGTATTAAATTTTAAGTTTGGCCCATAATATATCCCATTCACTGTTTATATTAATACTTTGTTGATGTTTTCCAGGTTTCAAGGTGTTAGAAGTTATTGCTGGAAATGCCACTGCATATGTCCACACCACCAACATCAAGAAATGGGACATTTGTGCTGGAAATGCTATCATCAAAGCTGCAGGTGGAGAAATGACAACACTAGATAATGAGCAAATTGATTATTCATCAACTTCCAATAGTGTCAATACTGGAGGATTGTTGGCTTCTATAGGACTAAGACACGATGAACTTGTTCAAAAGTTGTCAAGAGCCAAGACATAAAAAAATTCTAAATTTTTAAAAATTAAGGATTCTATTATAGCTAATTAGCTATATGTCTCTTTTTGCGTTTCTGTTTCCTTCATAGTTTTAAGCTTATCTTTTATGCACCATCTTTGGCTAAAAACAAATGCCTCAGCTGTTGGTGGTTTGTATAATAGTAAATTGCCATAGATTAAATTATTCTGTCACCAGTTGGCCTAAAAAACCTTGAGACAAATTGAAAGTTTCCAGCTGTGCTGAACACGCCACTTGGTACAAGTTATAGCTTTGCTGAAGTTTCCTCTTTTCTTTTACCTGTAAGAAGACTGAAAAGCCCCCTTTTTGATAATTATTTATGTCTTATCTTTGCAAGTCAGTAATCTCGCATTGTTTGTTTTATGAGCAGAAATTCTCTTGTTTTATATTTTGTAATGCTATTTTGTTGTATTGATATGTTATGTAGGACATAAAAGTGATAATTTTAATTAATTTTTTTTTTTTACACTGGAGGCCATTGGTTAATAATATTTATTACTATTGTAATAGGAAAGATCTGTGATATCAAACTATCAGAGCAGCTATTGTCTCAGAATTCTGCCTCATAGTGTGTATTGTCATGCAAATGTACAAAGAATTTTACTACTTTCAGGCAATTGCCTGAGAATAAATAATTGTTTCTAAGAAGGTTATTCATTCATTGTACTGAGGCTGGTGTAGTGAACAACCCCGAGAGTTTGTTGTGCTGTGATACTCCTTGGTAATTGAAGCTCGAGTTGGTCTTATATAATTCCTCTTTGACCAAAAAGTGGCAAATCTACACCAATAGTGCTAGAGAGGTAGGCAGGACACTCAAATTACTTGCTTTGACAAAGTCACTTTTAGACCAAATACCTGGCATTTGTCTCTCATAGTTCCATGTCATTTTCTGGAGAATCTGAGAGGGTTGATCATATTTGGTGAGAAAATGGCAAGGGAATATTCGATACTAATGTCTTTGAAGATTAAAAAAAAGGAGGACTAGGAAGCAGAATAAAGATTTCATTTCCTGTGTCGGTTAGAATTAATTTTTTATTAATACAAGGGCTACAATTTATTTTGTGCTTTGGCACTAAAAGATTGTCTACAGTGAGTGATTATGTCATACAGTCAATACTGGGTTCTATAATATTCTTAATATTGGCACAATTAGACATTGAGGGTAAAATAAGAGTAAGGTGACATGGAGATGTCCACACCTATTAACGTACAGGAGGGTCAGTACTCAATATGTGAATATTCACGATAATATTTTTACGTGTTCAACACAAGCTACAAGTGATCGGCTACTGACTACATAGAGAAGTACATTTCTCCTATCCCTACATTAAGTAGTAGTTCTGAAAGCCATCCAACATAAACAAGAGGCACAGCAATAAATGGGTCAGATCAAACAGCGAACATTTATAAGAGTTTCAAGATGAAATAGTGGACTACTGTTATATTGAATAATTACTTAAAACTTTAAGTTTATTGCAAAACTAAAATGCTACAACTATTTTTCTACTTCTCTCTACACACTTAGTTTTTATGTGTCTTCTTAAAGACACTTCATAAGAGATTCTAATAATACTGATCCTTCAATTTAAAATAACAAAAAAAAATTCCACAGCCAATTTTAAACATTTTACGAACTTCCGAAACATACAACTTTAAAAAAAAGGGGGGGGGATTTTTCAGGCATGCAAGGTTGTATAACATTTAAGTGGCAAAACAAATCCACAAACACCACATCTAAATAAATTAGGTAGTAGTTAAAGTTACCAAAACAAGAAACAAAAAAAAAGACACTACATAGTGACTTAAGAAAGATTTGTTTTCTATAAAACTGTGGAAACTGATAATGGTCAATTGTATAGACCAAATACGATAGAAATAAGATATGTTTTCATCCTCTTAATCTTGAGAAGATTTATCAGTCGTTAAGAGTCTCAAACTCTGTCCATTCCTCCTGGGGATCCTGCTGTAAAACAAAGAGTTTTAACACCTTATAGAAGTTGACACGAGTGGGAACACAAAATTCATGTCAGTTTGGTATGTAATTGACCAAAAATTGTCAAAAATTCAGGCTGCAATAATTTGATAACAAAGATGATGAAGACGATTTTAACTCAAGTTCTCAGGAGTACTCACTGCTGTGTACGTAACCAGAGTTGAGTGCTTGTAGCCCATGGATCTGTTGACACGTGTTCGGACAGAAGCCCAAAATCGGGTTTTTCGGATCAAATATAATATAGCCGCACTAACTACTGCGATTGCCATGAGGCAGCCCATAGTCTTCCAAGCAGCAGCTGGAAAGAGAGGGCGTTAGGTAAGCACGCAGTGCGAAAAAATATACAACAAACAAAGGGCGGGAGGGAAAATACTTACTGCGGACGGTTGGAGGCTCCTCTGCGTGTCCGAACTTTCCACACATCAGGGGAGATGGCCACTCTATCACTAAATGACACTCCGTCGCCTGCAACAACAAACACATATATCACTACTCCATGCCGACGAAGACTTTCACAAGCACGGGGTATCCGCATCGGCGCGCCATGTATTATGAGAAATACTTCATCCACATGCAAATTGTTTGAGTGTGAGTGTGGTGGGGGGGGGGCGTATATGGTGCCCATTAGAAGCATTAGGTTCTCAATTTACAGGCCTAGATAGAACGCAACGTACTAATTGGTGTTATATGAAGCAAAGAACATTCGGCAAGTTCTCGCTCTAGATCTTCAAGAGACTTGCGGTTTTCTTTCAATTTTTTTAATTTTTTTTCAATGCAGCCTTTCATAGCCCCTTGTTTCCGTATCTGGTGCCATAAGCTGCACGCCGCGTCGTTCTGCTCCGTGACGTAACAATACGCAATCCCGTGCAGCGCCGCCGGCCCGGCCGGTGCCATGAGAGGGAAGGGGAGAGGGGGGAAATAGGGGAAATGGGGTGTCCGGGAGAAAGCGCGAAGAAGCATGGCGGGAGGGAAGCGAAGCGGACCTCCTGGCGAGGTGGCGGCGTTGGTGCTCCTGCTCCACAAGCAAGCGTACACTGCGTAGTATACGTTCACAAGCACGCCCTTTTTATGCATTTGTCACGAACATCAAGGCATGGCGCAAGCGCGCAAGGTCGCCGTGTCCCACAAGCACACATTTGGGGACGGACCGCAGCAGCCTAGGAGCCTTGGCAGCAGCACTCTGGTGGGGGCAAAAATTAGCATCCAGCCCGCGGACAGTGCAGCGCAGTGCGGACTGTCAGGACACCGTCAGGACTGTGCCTAGGGAGGGAAAACGCGCCAAACGCCCTGTCCCACTTCCGAGCCGCGTCCTTTCGGGAGACGAATTCGCGTCGGACTATCTCTCTCGCACTCACGTCACGTGGTGCGTCCGGTGCGTCCCGCACGGGTGCGAGAGAGAAGCGACGATCGCAGCGCGCGAAGGCGCGACGCAAAGGCAAGGGAACTGAGAAGGAGATCGAAGGGAACAGCGCGTCTACGGCGGCGTGTTGATTGTTGATATTGGAGTCCACGTTGGGGGGTTGGGGGCTGCCCGCGCCCCGCGCCTCGCACCCCCACCGCCACGTGGGCGTGGGTCACACAGGTCACACGCCCCGTCGCCAGCCGCGCGGCGGCGCCCCGCTCGCCCCGCGACACGTGCCCGCCCGGGTTGCCCTGCCAGCCCTGCCAGCCCTGCCAGCCCTGCCCAGACCGGGGCCGGGACTCGGCCAAAGCGGCCAAACACAGTGCCAAACACGGCCCCACGAGGCCATCGTCCCCCGTGCCCCCGTGCAGCCCCGTGTCGCCGCTGACTCTCTCTCTTCTCCCAGCCGTGCCTTTGCACATGTCTTTCGCGGAGAGCAGAGGCACAGCAGCTCACCGCGCCAGACATCCAGCCAAAGGGTGAGACTCGGGACTCTCCTTCACCAGCGAGGGCAAGGGAGAAGTGCTCCACCGTGCATCCACGGGCCGAAGCTCGGCATCTCTCACGACCGCAATTTTCTTTTCCACGCATCCTGAGCTTGCTTTGCTTTCCCCCGAAAAATAAACACAGCCCCAAGCCACTTGTCTACAGTGCCTCCAAATCCTCCCCACTGGATAAATAGCGCGTTCCCCGTTCCCTTCTCGCTCTACCTGTGGGAGGACTGGTTGAGGCATCATCTCTGCGGCCAACAGTCACATTTTGTCGTTGAGTTTTTCGTTCTCCAACTCAATTTTTCGTTGACAGAACGAACCACCTTGAAAATTTTCCTCCACGCAGGAACCCCATCAAACTCGTAAAAGTGAAATACACCGTTTTCTCTTTCGAGCAGTGTACTCGACACCTGGCCGACCGGGTTGAGGGCCCCATACTGATGCTCTTTTGTCTCCCGAATGTTCGCGTAGCCCACAAGCCGGCAGGCAAGCGGGCAACAGGTAGAGAGAGGTGCACGATGACAAAGGAGCAAAGGGGCCTGATAGAAACGTCAAGGGGCGCATCAGGGGGGCACGCTGGGGGGCGGGCCGGAGCCACGTTCGAAAAACAGACTCAGGCAGGCCTTGACCGCGTGCCATCGAGAGAAATACTACATCGGCATCGACGCACCGGGTAGGGGAGTACGTTTTGCATTTCGGTGCGTCCCACCGTTCCACCGTCCCACCACGGCACCTACGGCACCACAACCCGCTCCCAGGGGTGGCCCTGCCCGCCCTGCCTGGCCTGCCGCCCCCCAGAAGGCGCGTTTTCCGCCTGGCCGCGCCCTTTCTGTCGGACGGGGCGGCCGCGCCATTAGCGTCACTTAGCTGCCGAGTCGCCGCGGCACAGCCAGCACAGCCAGCACAGCCACGGCCGCGGCCAGTGCCGAGGACACCCCGCCACCCTGGCGTGGCACTGGCCTGGCCCCTGGCTAGCCGGCATGGCAGTGGCAGTGAAGTGACGGCAAGGGGTGGAGACCAGTGGCGGATCCAGAGTCGCTCAAAAGGGGGGGGGGGCACTCCATGCACAAAGTGCTGCTTTTGCCTACCTTGAGGGCAGCTATCTAGGGGTCGGATGCATTTGTCCCCCCCCTCTTCTGAATCACCGGTCGGTGGCCGGCGATAGAGGCTCCTCCGCCAACGCCAACGAGGCGTGGGAGCTCACCGCCCTCCCCACCCGCGACAAAAGTGACAGCGATGCGTTTTGCCGGGGTGCCAAACGACTTGGGACTCGCTCAGCAGGCCAGGCAGGCCAGGCAGACCCGCAGGTCGGAAACGGCAAATGGCCCGCGCCGAACTTTCGCGCCGTTATCGGCAAAACAACGGCCGCGCCGCCGCCGCGCCGCCGTCCTCTATCCTCTATGCACACGCTCGCTCGCACTGTCGGCGTTGTCGGCGCGCTTCCGGCGCGTGGGAAGCCGCGAGCAGCTAAGCCGCGGCGTGGCCAGGCGTGGCGGACACGGCTTCAGCGGCAGCTTTGGCTACAGCTAGCTAGCTTTGGCGACAACGCGGCCAACGACGTGCAGGGCGACGGCGGCCGACGGGCTGATCCATCATCACTTGAGCAAACAGCTCCTGGCTGGCCGGCCCCGCCTCTTTGAACGGGGTGGCTGCTAATTCAATATCCATCGGCGCCGTGGACGCGGACTACGGGGTGCGAGGGACGGCGGGCGTGGCCGCGGACGGCGTACGCGCGGGGCGGAAGCCTGGCGGAAGCCCCGAGGGGAGTGTTCTGCATACAGTACCCTGCGGCCTGCGCCTCGCCACCATTTTAAAAATCAAGTCCTTGTCAGTATTTTTCTACACGTGCTTGCAAATTACAGTAGCAGCTGTCTTTTTGAGTTCTGTACTAACCACGGTGTTGAGTAGCGTTGGAACCCCTAACTTGAAACTCTATTTACTGCTAGAATGGAGCCTAGAGGCCATTGTTTGGCCATGGACAGCCATCGAGAGGTCGCGTCCCGGGCGGCCCGGCCCGGCTGGCTCGGCGAACACAAAGCCCGAAATGATTAAAACCAGCCGGCCGGCCTGGGCCTGGTTCTGGGCCCGGCATCTCGGCTCGGGTCGCTATTTTGATTAGAGCAGCAAGGGAGGGAAAGCAAAATGGGGCAGAAATTGGCGGCGCGTTTTGTTTACTCTGGGTTGCAGAGCCGCCATGCGCCGCTGCGTTTAGCTCGATCGCTCGATGCAAAAACCTGAAGCACACCCACACACACACACGCGCGGCGTGAGTGCGTGTGTGTGAGAGAGAACCCCTGGACCGTAGGGTGCCGCCGCGCCAAGGACAAGGCTGAGAACAGGAGGCTTGCCCGCGCAATGTTGACTATTGATAAGTCGTTTGTTTTCCCTCTCTTGGAACCGCGAGCTGAGGCTGGCTGGGGCGCTGAGGCCGGCTCGGTGTTGTTGTTGCCGGCAGGACGGCAAAGTAAGCACGGAGCCTTTTCGATTCGAGTGCTTGGATGACGTCAGATCGGGCGAGGGCGGCCCTGGGGGCGGCCTGCATGCCGGACTTCCTCGCCAGCAGGCAAAATGCAGCAGCGCTCCGGGCCGGGGGCCGGGGAGGCGGGGGTCGTTGCGAGCGAGTGGTCCCCGCGGCCGCGGCCCGCGCAGCCCGCGCTGACGGCCCGTTCGATCGACTGAATGGACCGCGCGGTGGCGGTTCGCGTTCGCACACGCAGCTGCCGCGGAGCGCGGAGCCGCGCAGCGCGTTGACGGGGCGCTGACAGGCGTCCGCGTGTCAAAACGAATCAGAAAGGCAAATGGAGCCGATAGGCAAGCGGCAGGGCAAGCAGTGGCACCGCGGTACGTCGTATGCACCGCGCACAAAGGGGACGTACAAAAAGGAGAGCGCTCGCCGTGCAATGCAGTGCGCGGCTCGCCCGGACCCACCCCACGGCTTGGCCAGGCTCGGCGACACAAGTGGTAGGAGGAGCCCAGCGTCGCGACACACACAATGCAACCGTATCGCGAGCGACTATCGCGTCATAATCGCCACCATTATGGATCATTTTAGCCTCCTTTGTGTGGTGATGGAGAGATAAGCGGGGGGACACACTGCATACTTTAAAGCGAAAAGGCCACCTCGCACCCCGACGCCACACTTCGCACCCAAACTGTGCATGCACACACTGTGCACACAGGACACAGTCACACAGTCAACAAACGGAGCCGTGGGTGCAGTTGCACGTTTTGCAGGACGCGTCCACCTGGTGTGCGTGGTGTGCGTGGGGGAAGGGATAAGAATAAGTGACACGGCCGTGACGCGAGAGAGCGAGCAGCGAGTCGCGCCTTGAGAGGGAGTGCGTGCGGGGCAGGGAAGGGCAACGGGCAGTCCACTATGAAGCGTCTCCCAGGCAGAACCACGAGGCGGGAAGATAGGCAGATAGAGCCAAACCACACGTCGCAGGGTCGCACACGACACGCAAGATTAAAAGCCCGGAGGCATCTGCCCGCCGCGGCACTCCCAGGCACACCCCATTGGGCACCGTTTAGGACACGATGCACCGCTGCGTGTCGCAAGTAGTAACCCTTTC